CTGTACTCCAGCCTGGGTGACAGTGAGACTCCGTTTCAAAAAGTAAAATAAAATAAAATAAAGGAATAGGTATCAGATGAAAAAAGAGGCTGAAGATTTAGTGAAATCCAGGGGAAAAGCCTAATTCACACAAACATGTTTCAAATACATCCCCCCAATAATCACTGGCACATATGCCCTGACTCTTACTGTTTGTGTTTCTTGGAAATCTGTGTGATTTTTTTTTTTTTCCCTGCAGAAGTTAAAAGCATCTTTATTTAGGTTTAGGCCTGTTTTTGTTTTGGGTTTGTGGAGGGCTGGTAAAAGACCATTTTTTAGACAATACTAGAAATATATTCATCTGGCCGGGTGCAGTGGCTCACGCCCGTAATCCCGATACTTTGGGAGGCCGAGCGGATCACTTGAGGTCAGAAGTTCGAGACCAGGCTGGCCAACATGGTGAAACCCCGTCTCTACTAAAAATACAAAAGAAAAAAAAAAAGCCTGGCATGGTGGCAGATGCCTGTAATCCCAGCTACTCGCGAGGCTGAGGCAGGAGAATCACTTGAATCCAGGAGGCAGAGGTTGCAGTGAGCCAAGGTTATGCCACTGCACTCCATCCTGGGTGACAGAGCGAGACTCCATCTCCAAAAAAAAAAAAAAGAAATATATTCATCTATTTAAAATGAATAGGGGCTATAAAACAAAAAGAAATGTTTTTAAAACATTCACAAATTTACTGGCTATATAATATCTAGTAGAAGGAGAGCAGAATAAAGAGGAAAGGGGGCAAAACAGAAAAATTGAGTGCTTGTTCTGTTAGCCATTGTGTTTTATGTCTTAACACACGTTGTGCAGAGCCCAACACCTTGTGGGGGGCACGATTATCCCTCTTTTACAATGGAAGGAACTGAGGTAGAAAGAGACGAAATAACTTGCCCAAGGGTTTGAACTCAAACATACTGGTTGTAGAGCTCATACTACCATATTATGCTACTTCATCACAGAATTGAAGGAAAATCAAGACGAGAGTAGACTAGCCAGTGCTCTCAGAGCCGGACCTAGAGACAGAACTACATAGGCAGGAGAGAAAAAGGCAAAGGAGACGTACATAATAATATCCCCATCTTGTGGTGGTTTTGTATTTTTTTTTAATATTTTAAGTAAAATTAAGTTAACTTCTAGCTCTAAGCTAAATAAAGCTTAAATAAAATTAAGATGAGGGGTGGCGGTTCCCATTCTTAGTAGTAATATTAATCATTCATAATTTTTATGCCAACCTTTGAAGATAAATGCTATGATTATCCCCATTTTGCACATGAGGAAACAGGTTAAATGATAGGCCCAGAATCACCTTGCCAATAAATGGCCAAGCTGGGGCTTGAACCCAGGCACTCTAGCACTGGGGTCTCCATTCTTAACCATCATGCTATTCTTACTTTCGACATACGATTTGTGGAAAATGCATACACGTGTTAGTAAAGATGATGGAAATCTATTTTATTGAAACACTAATGAGTGGTCATAAGCCTCCACTTCTTTCCGGTTGTAATCTAAAGTGTTAGCTATCACAAGGAAGTGTTTTATTTGTAACCACTACTTTGGTACAAGGCCATTTCTTTATAATGGTTTGGCTCCTATGTTCAGATAAATGGTTTTTATTTATTTTATTTATTTTTTGAGACAGGGTCTCACTCTTTCACCTAGGCTGGAGTGCAGTGGCGCAATCTCAGTTCATTGCAGTCTCCACCTCCTGGGTTCAAACGATTCTCGTGTCTCAGCCTCCCTAGTAGCTGTGACTATAGGCGTGCACCACCACACCTGGCTTGTCTTTGTATGTTTTGTAGAGATGGAGTTTCACCCTGTTGACCAGGCTGGTCTCGAACTCCTAACCTCAAATGATTCACCCGCCTGGGCCTCCCAAAGTGCTGGGATTACAGGTGTGAGCCACTGCGGCTGGCCAGATCAATGCTTTTTAATATGTGCATTCCCACCCCACCCCAAGGACTCTGGCTTGTAAATGGCACTTTGTTTTAACATGTTATAGATTCAGTTCAAGAAAGTAGTGGTTCATAACTTTGCAGAGATTTGTGGTGAGTTTTTGTAAGATTGATAGAAAGTTTTTATCAAACAAAATGACACAACACTTTGTAATACAAATGAAAGTTTCAAAACTGAGAAAATTTATAGCAAAATTTATACAGAGAATTGACCTTTAAATTCATTTTTTTCCCCGTGGGAGACTCACTGGACATTTTTTGTTACATATTTTGATTTATGAAAGTAGTGATAAAGAGTAGGCAAAGATTAGACTTGGAGCAGATAAAATTTTTTGGTAAGAAAATAGGTACTTTATGGAAATGGACCTAATTAACATTAAAAAGCTATATTATTCCATAATCCCTTTTTATTCATGTTAATGTAACATGAATTTTTAATCTTTATTTACTATTTTGTATTGTTTTTGTCATTTCATATATATCCTTTTCTGGTAAGGGTATACTGCGTAATAGCTATAGTATTCCATTGTACTGTTTTACATTTAACATATCTTGTTGAATACTTCAGATTTAATTTTTCTTTTCTTTTTTTTTTTTTTTGAGACAGTCTCGCTCTGTTGCCCAGGCTGGAGTGCAATGGCGCCATCTTGGCTCACTGCAACCTCTGGCCCCCGGGTTCAAGCAATTCTCCTGCCTCAGCTTCCGGAGTAGCTGGGTGGGACTACAGGCACAAGCCACCACTCCTGGCTATTTTTTGTAATTTTAGTAGAAACGGGATTTCACTATGTTGGCCAGGCTCGTCTCGAACTTCTGACCTCAAGTGATCTGCCTGCCTCAGCCTCCCAAAGGGCTGGGATTACAGACGTGAGCCACCACGCCCAGCCCAGATTTAGGTTTTGTTTTTTTTTTTTGAGACGGAGTCTGGCTCTGTCGCCCGGGCTGGAGTGCAGTGGCCGGATCTCAGCTCACTGCAAGCTCCGCCCCCTGGGTTTACGCCATTCTCCTGCCTCAGCCTCCCGAGTAGCTGGGACTACAGGCGCCCGCCGCCTCGCCCGGCTAGTTTTTTGTATTTTTTAGTAGAGACGGGGTTTCACCGTGTTCACCAGGATGGTCTCGATCTCCTGACCTCGTGATCCGCCCGTCTCGGCCTCCCAAAGTGCTGGGATTACAGGCTTGAGCCACCGCGCCCGGCCCAGATTTAGGTTTTTAAAAAGTTTAACCAGTAAGCATTTGGAAATGTGATGGACACTTGTGCACGATTGAGTCTAGAAAGAAGTGATTTTTTTAAAAAAATTATTTTGAAATATTGTACTTACAAAACCTTTAAAGAATAGTACAAAGAACTCATGAAATTCATTAGCCATGTAATTTTTAACATTTTACCACATTATTGTGCTATGTCTGTATTTATGTTTCCTGAATCCTTTGGGAGTTGGTTGCATTTATCATTCCCTTATATTCCTTAATACTTCAGTATCTGTTTCCTAAGAAAAGGGACACTGGCAGTATAGATTTGATGGGCCTCCTGTTGATGTAGTAATTGAAACAGTATGTTTAATGAGAAAATACAGAGGGAAAAACAAAAACCATCTTGATCTGGTTTCAAGCATGTGGCATGAAGGTCAAGTAGAAAGTTATTCATACATTCTGTAAATATTTGAGTGCCTAGGCACTGTGGTGGGATGTAAGGGATAAAACTGGAATATAATACACAATGTTGGCCGGGCGCAGTGGCTCATGCCTGTAATCCCAGAACTTTTGGAAGTGGAGGTGGGTGGATCTCTTGAGGTCAGGAGTTCAAGACCAGCCTCGCCAACCTGGTGACATCTCATCTCTACTAAAAGTACAAAACTAGCCAGGCATGGTGGCGAGCGCCTGTAATCCCAGCTACTCGGGAGGCTGAGGCAGGAAAATTGCTTGAACCCGGAAGGCGGAGGTTGTAGTGAGCTGAGATCATGCCACTGCACTCCAGTCCAGGCGACAGAGTGAGACTCCATCTCAAAAACAACAACAACAAAAAACAATGTCCTTATGAAGTGATAATTTATTGTATAGAGGGGTGCGGGGGAGGATATAGACAACCAGACAAGTGATTTTGGTACAGTATGGTAGAAACTATGATGGAAAAAACAGAAAATCTTTTTCATTAAAAAGTTCTTGATGACTTTGAGAATGAATTACAGAATACATTATAACTCAAAGGATGAAGGCTTTAGGAAAGAAAGATTGCAAGAAATTAAGGGATAAATGAGTGGTTGGGAAGTGGAGGAGGCACCTTCTAGCATGAATTCAGGGAATTTGGCAATGGAGAGGAGAAACAGTTTAACAAGAGGACAGTACCCAGAATTGAACCCTTTCCTCTTCTCCTCACCCTCAATGGACTGATCTAGTTAAGTATCAGAGACTAAAGATACTCTCTCTTTAGGAGGGGGAATGAATGAGATCTAGAACATGCTTGGCTTTGGAAGGGGAAACAAAACACATTTATTCATCTAGAATTTGAGGGAAGAATAAAAATATGGGTATAATTACAAGGTACATTCTAATGAAGATCCTCATGATAAATGGGTTTAGCTTTCTCACATGGAGGGAAGTGCAGTCATATGAAGAGAGGGAAGAGGGAAGCTAGAAGCTTGAAGAACATAGAGACTTAGAACAGGCATAACATAAGGGGAAAAATTAAGAGCACTGCCAAACAGTGGTTAAGGGCCAGTTGAGGTTTATTAGCATGAATTGGTATTGGATATAATGTTTCTGCACAATTATTTCATAGAACTCTACTGTCCAGAAGTGGAGTGAGGTTATCCTTAAATTATCAAGGGTTAGGATCATCTGGGTCTTACCTTTATAATTTTTGCATATAAGAGAATGAAAGGTAATTGCATGCAACTTTTCATTACTATTTTGTTTCATTACTGTTTTGTTTCACTTCATTGATCTTTTTCTCTTCCTGCATGTTAATGAAAGCTGCCCGTTTCACCTCCTTTACCTATCATTTTCTTCCTTACTGCATTTTCACAGCATGCTATTTCTCTGAGATGTTCCAGCAAGCAGGCCAAGCGTCATATTGACTTCACAGAAGAACAGGCTGAGCTGACACCTGTAAGTTCTATAAACATGCCATGGCGTGACTTAATGAAGAGGAAAGCATTCGTTAGAACTCCAAATGATGAAACCTTTTCATATAACTTCAGTTTTTCAAATCAAAATTAAACCAAACTTAATAAATTAGCAAAAACAAATAAGCAACTTTAGATAGGGTACCATTGAGTAATACTCCTGGTATGATTATGTAGGTGGTAGCATAATTGATGTAGATAATTTTTGTTTTAGAACCTGAAACAACATGCCTTCTTTATTCTGAAACTAAGAGCTTTTGTAGGCCGGGCGCGGTGGCTCAAGCCTGTAATCCCAGCACTTTGGGAGGCTGAGACGGGTGGATCACGAGGTCAGGAGATCGAGACCATCCTGGCTAACACGGTGAAACCCCGTCTCTACTAAAAAATACAAAAAACTAGCCGGGCGAGGTGGCGGGCGCCTGTAGTCCCAGCTACTCGGGAGGCTGAGGCCGGAGAATGGCGTGAACCCGGGAGGCGGAGCTTGCAGTGAGCTGAGATCCGGCCACTGCACTCCAGCCTGGGCAAGAGAGCGAGACTCCATCTCAAAAAAAAAAAAAGAGCTTTTGTAAATTTCTTAAGATACTAACAAATTTAATTGTTCTTTACAGCAGAAATACCAAATGGAATGATTCTTCTGCACTGATGCTTAACTGAAAGCCTAGTTTCTTTCTTAATAAAATGTATTCTTTGGTCAGTGATTGGCAAATCTGGATGCTTCAGAGGTGTACTGTTCTATATGGTAGCCACTAGCCACATGTGCCTATTAAGTATTTAAAATGTGGTTACTCCAAATTGTGGTGTGCTGTAAGGATAAAATACATACTGGACTTCAAAGACTTACTATGAAACAAAAATGTAAAAAAATCTCATGTCCGAGTGTGTTGGCTCATACCTGTAATCCCAGCACTTTGGGAGGCCGAGGCGGGCAGATTACTTGAGGCCAGGAGTTCAAGACCAGCCTGGCCAACATGGTGAAACCCCGTTTCTACTAAAAATACAAAAATTAGCTAGGCGTGGTGGCACGTGCCTGTAATCCCAGCTATTCAGGAGGCTGAGGCAGAAAAATTGCTTGAACTCAAGAGGCGGAGGCTGCAGTGAGGCAAGATCACAGCAGTGAGCTGAGATCACACCACTGTACTTCAGCCTGAGTGACGGAGCAAGACTCAAAAAACAAAAACCACAAAATTTATTTGTATTAATTACTTGTTAAAATCTCAGATATTTTTGGTTAACTAAAATACATGAACATTTCAGTGTTTTCTTTTTATACTTTCTAAAATTAGTGTGGCTAACAGAAAATGTTAAATTACCTTTGTGATGATTTCTAACACCATCTTTACTGTTCAAGTGAAATTTGTAAATAACATAACCTACTTACATACCTACTTTTTATATGAATGTAATGCCCCAACACCTATGAAGGAGAAATATTGAAAATGTAATTTATAATAAAGTAATGTATCTGTTTCAGTATGTAAATACTTAGCTGCCACTATTAAAAGACATAATGAAGTAGTCAAACCTTACACCTACCTACAATCAAGAACTTTGGGTTTAAGAGAAGTGAGATCAGAAGGCTTTTTTTTTTTTTAAAGAAGTATAGGAAAAAGAACAGAAATATAAGTGGACCCTAGAAGTGAAACATGTTATGATAAGTGATAGCAGATGTGTGACATACTTGTATATACTATGAGAAAAAGGGAAATAATCTTAATTGAAGTAGGAATAATGTGCTGAGACAGTTTATAGGCAAGTAGAGAAAATGGGAACATGTAAAATTCTTGCAAATGAGATAAGATTATTTGTAATTGTAGTGACAAAATAATTTCAGTGTTATAATGTGGGATGAGATGGTAGTAATAAAATCATTTGATACCTGATTTTTTACAGTGTAGATTTTTCATCATGCTATATATTTTATTTCTTTAAGGTAGAGTCTTGCTCTGTTGCTAAAGCTATAGTACAGTGGTGCCATCTTTTATAGTCAGTGGTGCTGACTGCAATCTCTGCCTCCCGGGTTCAAACGATTCTCCTGCCTCAGCCTCCCAAGTAGCTGGGACTACAGGAGTGCGCCACCACACCTGGCTAATTTTGTATTTTTAGTTTTGCCATGTTGGCCAGGCTGGTCTCAAACTCCTGACCTCAAGTGATCCACCTGCCTCAGCCTCCCAGAGTGCTGGGATTATAGGCGTGAGCCACTACTCCTGGCCTTCTGTGCTATATATTTTAAATATGACAACAGTAGTATGAAATATTTTTAAACAATTTTTACTAATAAAGTTAATTTCATGTTTTCACTAATTTAATATTATTTAGCTTTTAACTTACATTTGCTGGCATGTGACAGAGTGTACACTGCCAGTTGTGGTACTGGCAACTCTTATTTCAAGCTAGTTTTCCATTGGTGAAATTATTTTCCAACATTATGAACAGCTCTTTGTAAACTCAGAACAAAAGAAAGTGCAGACTTCTTTCAATTTATTTTAGAGGGTAATAGCACTCCGGGAAAATTCATTCAATATTAAAATCATGCAAAAACACTTTTTAGATGTAAAATGAAATTAGATTCTAAGCTCAGATTGTTGTAAACAAGATTTCCCATCTCTACGACTCTCCGTATAAGGACATTTAACAATCACGTGGAATGTGGGACTTTTGTTGTTATTGACATTGTACCATGCTCGCAAGGCATCTAGCATTTTTGACTTCTCAATAAATACCAGTAACTCTCCCTCTCCTCTTCATTGTGGCAGCCCAGAATGTCCTCAACATTTTCTGAAATTCCTGCTTGAGAGCAGAACTACCCTCTTTTGAGAACCATTGGTCTCAAATATCCCTTTGCCCTCTGTTTCTACTCTGCCACACTCCCTCACACCGCGACCCCAGCAGCCTCTTAATCATCCTCCAGGACTGTAGCTTTTTCAGAATTACTTTATTAAGCCCCTAATTTGGGGTTAGATACTTGTCTCCTTGCTCACCTACCACTTAACACACTGTTTTGTAGTTGCAAGTTGGTCTGCATCTCCCTATTAGACTACATTCTGTGAGGCAAGGAATGCCCATCTTGGTCACCTTTACACCTCTAATGCTGGCATGGTTCCACGCTCAAAAGTTAGAGCCTAAAAAATGGTTGAATAAATGAAGAGGAAAAGAGAGAAATAAAATAAATCAATAAAATGGATTAAAAATAAACTCCTGACTTTGTGTCTATAGTTGGTAAAAAAAAGAAAATATAAGAAGGCCCTGTTTATATGAAGCTGTATGCATTTTTGTTAACTCGCAACGTAAACCAAGACTGAAGGCTGATTGGATGCCATGCCCAAACCATAATTTTTTTTTTTAACTAAACGTTTAAAATATATTTCTAAACAGACTGGCCTTACTCAGTCACAATAACTGCTGATCTCCATAGCAGAGCAACCCACAAAGACACAGCCCTGATTTTTTCCCCTGTAATCAAGGGTGAAAAATACACAAGTTGCTTCTGACCCAAAACCACAATTTCTGCAGTTTAAAATGTTTCACTGATAATATGGCCCTGGTAGAAATTATGTAGTTTTAAAACCACATAATTTACTCTCCTTAGTCCTTCAGCTGTGCAGCACTCTTCTCATCCCTCTTGCTTCCTTCCAGTTACCAGTTTCACCCCACCCCGTCCCTTTTTTCTGAAGAGCAAGGAATTCTAGGATCAATGTTATGACTGGTACCAGTTGGAGGAAGATACTTTATTTTTTGAGACAAGGTCTCGCTCTGTTGCCCAGGCTGGAATGCAGTGGCATAATCCTAGCTCACTGCAGCCTTAAGCTCCTGGGCTCAAAAGTGGTCCTCCTATCTAAGCCTCCTGAGTAGCTGGGATTATAGTTCAAGCCACCATGCCCAGTGGAGTCTGCTGCTTCTGGTTTCTATATGTTTGTTGTTTCTGCTACAAATAGCCTATAGTTTGAATAGAACCTGGAGATCTGGCCTTCCTCACTGCTAGTAACTAAATAGTGAATAGCTACATAACCATCCACGAGGGATATGATTTATGATCATGTTTAGCTATTGTTTGTGGTCTCATTTTTTGAATGTGGCATATTTTGGGACCACCAACCATAACGATTACCCTCTTTTTATTTGAAGCTATTTAAATATCTTAATATTTCAAAATAGACTTCTATTTCTGTGTCATTAAACAGATACAGGTAAATATCATTGCCTCATACTTACCAAATTATCAGTTTTTTTGGTGACTTAAAGTCTTGAGGTCATGAGTTTGAGAGCTGATGAAATCTTGTGGGTTTTTTTTAAGAGCTTAAATTTGAATTTGATATTTGGAATTACATTTACCAAATCATACTTTGTTTTGATGGCCTGAGGCAGATTTTATTTTTTTAAATTTGAAATATAATTATCTGAATATAGATAATCTACTCACTTGGAGATCATTTTTCTAAAAAAGTAACTTTTATAAGATAAGTAGCAGTAAGTTTTCAAGAAAGTAATTTCTTAAAATACATGTTACATGTTTTACATAGTAATTGTGTAACAGTACATTTTTCTTCATTATATTTGAATAGCTAAAAATGAATGGGAATAAGAGCAATGAAAGTTATAGTTGCTCTTTTATTTTTAAGTGAAACCAAGTTTATTAAAGAAGTAAAGAAACGTGGCTGGGCACAGTGGCTCACACCTATAATCTCAGCACTTTGGGAGGCCAAGCCGGGTGGATCACCTGAGGTCAGGAGTTCAAGACCAGCCTGGCCAACATGGCGAAACTCTGTCTCTACTATAAAAATACAAAATTAGCTGGGTGTAATGGCCCGTGCCTGTGATCCCACCTACTTAGAAGGCTGAGGCAGGAGAATTGCTTGAAGCTGGGAGGCGGAGGTTGCAGTGAGCTGAGATTACATCACTGCATTCGAGTCTGGGTGAGAGAGGGAGACTCTGTCCTAAAAAAAATAAAAATAAGAGAACTAAAGAAACCAAAGAATGGCTACTCTTGTAAATTGTGCTTTTTGTTCTTTGTTTTTCCCAGTTCCCTCCCTCCTTGGCTGAGCATTAACCTCAAACTAAATTGAATTTTCAGAAATTACTACTTACCTAGTGTCTTTATGGAGAAGCCAATCAGTCTTACCTTTAAGAGGACTACACAATCTAGTTAAATGAGGACCTAGGGATAGTTTTCTATGTTCTTGTTATTGTTTGACTTTGTTAGTGCTAATCTTGATGAATATGTCCAATTAAAAAAAATTGGACATTAGGTTTTTTTTTTTTTTTTTTAGTAAGGAATGGGTGAGAGGGGCAGGTATGCTTATAAAGTTTACCTTGCATTAAAACACAGCTTTAAAAATGCAGGCAATAAAATACCATATAGCAAGCTTAGCATAGTATAGATGTAAGCAAAGATTGTATTGTCTTCTGTAACATGTTTTTAATCTTGAAGTAGTGTATTTTATCTATGACCATGTATGTACTTTCTTTTTTTTTTCCTTGAGACAAGAGTTTCACTTGTCGCTCAGGCTGGAGTGCAGTGGCACAATTTCAGCTCACTGCAACCTCTGCCTCCCAAGTTCGAGCGATTCTCCTGCCATAGCCTCCTGAGTGGCTGGGATTACAGGGTCCTGCCAGCACACCCGGCTAATTTTTGTATTTTTAGTAGAGATGGGGTTTCACCATGTTGACCAGGCTGGTCATAAACTCCTGATCTCAGGAGATCTGCCTGCCTCGGCCTCCCAAAGTTCTAGGGACCATGTACTTTCTTATAGGGGGTGCTGCTCTAGTATTTGCATTAGTTTCTTTCCAAAGAATTTCCAAGAATAACTTGACCTATATTTACGTTTATAAAATATAACAGAATATTTTCTATACTTTTACTCAGCTGTATTGTACGTTTTTTTAAATGGTGATTAGTAACTATGTACTGTTAAATACTAATTTGGAATTTTTTCATGAGAGGCCAGTCCAAATTACCTGTATATATCAAAACAACTACAATTTAAGGATAAATAAAATACAATTGTATTATCTTACAACATGTTACCGTGAAAAGTTACTAAGGGGAGAATGATAGGTTCCATACCATTTACAAATTATTTTCACGAAAACAATTACTTGAATTAATCAGTTTAAGTGTGTGACACTTCTGAATATTTTGTTCATGTCATTCATTTGCTATGCAAATTCTTCACTGTGCAGTGTACTCCTATTTTTATTCTGATAATAATGAGTGGGTTAATAAAGTTTTACTGAAAACAGGTGTATCCATTAGGCAAAATATTGATGAATATTTTTCCTCTTGGTGCAGCTATCATTGAATTGACCAGAAATACTTGAAGAAGCTTTTAAAAATGATGTCATCTTATTCTAATCAAAATATGCTATTTAAAGCCATATAGGTCTTGATAGGCTTTAACAAGAGAAAGGAAGTTTAGTCATTGGTCTCTGACATGCATTTATTTGTGTGCTGTGCACAGCGTTCTTGAGCATTGGCCTAGAAGGCAGACTGGCTCTGCAGTCTTTGCATGTACTACCCATTTCCCAAAGAGGGAGGGATCAGCAGGAGTCAGCTGGGACATGTCTATGGGCACGGTGATGTCTTTACTTCCCTGCTCCTTTTCTTTTTCTTTTTTTACATTTTCTTTGTGGACATATTTCACTCAACTTAGGGAAAAGATATGAGATTAATTATAGAGAATCATTCTTGCTTTGTCTGCTTTATGTTTTAAACACATAAAACCTCCACTGACTTCTGTTATTGCCTTTTTTTGTTTTTGTTTTTCTCTTTTCTGAACAAGCACTCCTATCTGGACAGGGAAACCTCCCTTCTTCTGAGAAACATTGCAGGAAAACCTTCTCACTTGCTGACCAAGGTGATACTTCTTTCCACATGCATGTAACTGTTTACTGCCTTGTAGGTAGAATATGATTTCTGTTTTTGATCATGCTCTTATATTATTATTCTAGCATCTTTGTCATTAATAGAGATACTTTTTCTTTTACAGACGGTAATTATTTACTGATCTTAATGACTGTCAGGCAATATTGAGAGTATAAAATATATTCAGTAATTTTCACTAGTTTTTAAACTTTTGTAAATGCCTAATTTTCCCAAGTGTGTTGCACTTTTTCTAGTTTGACACTATTGCATTTTAAAGTCTAAAAAGCATTGCTTTTACTACTAATGGTTGTCCATACTCTGGGTTTCTTTAGCAACCTTTGCTTCCTAGTTTTTATTTATATTATCACCTCCTCGTTTAATTAAAACATTTACTCATGTAAACAGAATCTTAGTTAATATTAACTTAGTCGAATTGGAAGAGGAAGCTGCAATTTTAATTGCCCGGTTCTCTGCCCTTGGAATGTTTTGAATCAGTTCAGCAAGATTTTCACTGGGCTGGTATTTTATATCCATTTAAAATATTTTAGCCATTGTCATCATTAACTAGGGAATAATACAGTAGGGAAGCTGAATTGCTTTCTACCTCTTTTTAAGTCATGCTTTTATTTCATTAGCTTATTTAAATAATGTTATATTCAAGAATATCAGACTTATTTCTGAAAAATATACATAGTTATGGGTAATGTCCCTAAGTTGTTGTTACTGTATCTGAGGTTTGTTTGCTTTAATTTCTTTCTAACCTTGTACATTTATAAAAGAAGATGGTAAACCAAAATGAAAATCTCCCCAAGAAGCAGCTCAAAGAAAAGACCCTTTAACAAAGTCAGCAGTGGGACCCTCTCTCTACCCTGAGTTTCTGTTTTTAAAGCAGATCTATGCGTGCTGGTAGAAATTTAAAGATCAGGGAAGTGTAGAAGTCTAAGCTGGTCATAGCTCTTTTTCCCATTTCCTCAGCTGTCCCCTCTTCGTTCTCTATTTACTCTCTTTCCCTAGACTCCACACATGTATCTTCAACTAGGATCTCTATTCTAGATGGATCTGTCTCCCAAGAGCACGTTTCCAAACAGCTGTTAGGCATTTCCTGGAAGACCACCAACATCTTACAAGCACCTTAAATCCCACAGGTGTTTAGCTTACCTCCATTATCCCTGGGCTCCATAATTTATATCAGTCATCATCACTTCTGTTTCTGTTTAGGATGCTGACATTCTCCTAATTACCAGGTTTGAACCCTCTGATCATCTTTGCTACCTTTCTTCTCATTTAATGTCTCCAATTTCTAATGAAGCTTGTCTTAATCTGCAGGATTTACTGAGCTCACCCATTTGTTGCATTCCCATTACCACCACTCTACTACAGGCTCACTCTTAGCTCTTTATTATTACCTGTCCCCCTTCCAATCCATTTTATACACGGCTCTCAGATTAAGTTTACCATTTTACCATTTTCATTGCCAATTCAACAATACTTACTGAGCTGTGACCTGCTGGTTGCTGGGATAGAACATTACATAAAGTATACCTATTCCTCACCCTCAGGAGCTCACAGTCTGTTTATGAAGATAGATGATAAATGGTGACAAGCAAGCATGTAAAGAAGTTCTAAATCATGTTAAGTACTATGAAGGAAACGAGTAGAACATACTGGGGAAAAGATTAGGGGTACATTTTATTTAGATGATGAGATCAGAGGGTTCTAGGAGGGTAACATTTAAGCTAAAGCCTGGAGGATGCAAAGAAGCCAGCCTGGGGCTTAAGGGAGTGTTCCATGTACATAGGTCAAGGGAAAGAGCTTGGCATGTTTGAGCAGTTGAAAAAAGACCATTTTGCCAGAGTCACCCTAGTTGAGTGAAAGTGCAAGTGTCTTGATTTGGGTTTGGAGAGGTAGGCAGGAGAAGCCAGATTACTCAAGCCACACCGAGGCCTTATTTTTCTCTAACTGTAGCTGGAAACTATTGAAAAGAATAAATAACTTCATTTATCCATTCAACAAATATTTACTGAGTATCTATTATGTGCCAGACAATGTTTATGACCCTGGAGATACAGCAGTGAACAAAACAAAGTTCCTACCATAGGCAGTGTTATTTTTTGCAAGTTTTGGATAAACATGGTCAGTGGCTCATGCCCGTTATCCCAGCACTTTGGGAGGCTAAGGCAGGTGGAGTTCAAGCCCAGGAGTTCAAGACCAGCCTGCTGAACATAGCGAAACCCCATCTCTACAAAAAAATACAAAAATTAGCCTGGCATGGTGGTGCATGCCTGTAGTCCCAGCTACTCAGGAGGCTGAGGCAGGAGAATCACCTGAGCCTGGGAGGTCAAGGCTGCAGTGAGCCACGATCACACTGCTGCGCTCTAGCCTGGGCGACAGAGTGAGACCCTATCCCCCTGCCAAAAAAACAAAAAGTTTAAAAATAAACCACAGTCATTCCTTGGTATACAAAGGGAATTGCTTCCAGGACCTACATTGATACCAAAACCTGCACATACATACACAAGTCCTGAAGTTGGTCCTGAGACCTTGGACGTGAAAAGTCGTCCTCTATATAGCGAATTTTAAAAATTTTTATTATTATTTTGAGACAGAGTCTTGCTCTGTTGCCCAGGCTGGAGTGCAGTGGTGCCATCTTGGCTCACTGCAACCTCCACCTCCCAGGTTCAAGCAATTCTCCTGCCTCAGCCTCCCGAGTAGCTGGGATTTATAGGCATGCGCCACCACGCCCAGCTAATTTTTGTATTTTTGTTTTTTGATAGAGACGGGGTTTCACTGTGATGGCTAGGCTGGTCCTGAACTCCTGACCTCGGGTGATCTGCCCGCCTCAGCCTCACAAAGTGCTGGGATTACAGGTATGAGCCACCGTGCCTGGTCTGTATAGGGAATTTTGCATCCTGAGAATACTGAATTTTTTATCTGAGTTTGGTTGGGAATGCAGAACCCTCCAGTATGGAGGGTCACATATATTTACAGAAAAACATTTGCATATAAGGACAGTAGTAGCTCAGACTCACGTTGTTCGATCAGCTATAGTTGTTACTGTTAATTATTTTGATTCTAAGCAGTGTTATATAATAAACTATTTAATGACCCTTAAACTGTTTATATCACTCCAAGTTCTCTTTGAATTTACATAACTTTGTATTGCAATCTATGAAATAAACTAGATCCTGAAGGAATTATTAACCCCTGTTTAGCCCCTTAATTTCAACTGGGTTTGTTCTGAACCTACAAAGCTTAAGCTTCTCAGTTGAAGGAACAAGTTAGCAACAGTAGCACTTTCTGTAAGTATTCTAATTTTTACAGCATAGAGAAAGTTGCAACACTGTTGGCTTTCATTTAATCATAGGATATTCACATAGTTTTTGTCCTTTATGTAAATTTGAGGAGGCTTGGTATTTGGTGGTTATTGATAGCCATAGAGGAGTTTTTCAGTAGAAAGTAGATTGTCTCTTGCTCTTTTAAGAGAAGGTGTGGGAGAGAAATTCAAGTTTTTACATGTGCGAGGTGTTTTTTACTTATGTTTAGCATAGTTGTGAAGAAAGGGATAGTCAAAGGATATGGGGCAGAATTAACACCTGACTTTGGCAGCAGAACATGAGATGAATAAAGCTTTGTCTTTTGTATTAAACTTGTGCTATAAACATTGAATGTAGATTTGCGTTGGCTTTATAAATAAACTATTGGAGGTCTTCTAAGTATGTCGTCTAAACATATCAGCAAACATTTATTTATTTTTCCTGTATTATACAACACCCCATGAGCTTAAGACAATTTCTGTTTTCCCCAGTTAAAAGATATGGTGTTTGCTTAAATATAGTAGACACAAATAGAGCTCTCTGAGAAAGAGCTTATTACCCACAGGAAGCATAAAAATATTAGGAGTCTTGCAATTTGACATAAACATTTTCATTTCCAGTTTTGTTCCAGGGATGATATTCAGACTCTAAAAGAGGTATCATGATCAGTTCTGTTTCTTCAGAAGGCTGCTAGCAAGGATTATCCTTGAATAAAACTAGAGAAGTATAAACTAAAATATGCCTGTGTTGAAATTAAACCAGCTCTTAATTTCATACAGTTTTAACCTGGACCAATCTATGTAAGCATAAAGAGTAGCATTTTGAGCAAATGGAAGAGCGGCTAGATTTGGATTTGTTAAAATAGCCTCCATCTAGCTGCTTTATAAAAATTCTTATTGATGGTTAGGAAATCTAATTGGTTTAATGTATGTTAGTTGATTACACAGGTCTCTTCTTTGTTTAATCCCTATGTCCGTTGTGTCACTTTTTTTTTGGCAGGGGGGCGGGGGATGGAGTCTTGCTGTGTTGCCCGGGCTGGAGTGCAGTGGTGTGATCTGTTTACCGTAACTTCCGTCTTCCAGTTTCAAGCAATTCTCCCTTTCTCAGCCTCCTGAGTAGCTATGTTTACAAGTGCCCACCACTGCACCCGCCTAATTTTGGTATTTTTAGTAGAGACAGGGTTTCACCACGTTGGCCAGGCTGGTCTTCAACTCCTTATCCACCCGCTTGGCCTCTCAAAGTGCTGGGATTACAGGCATGAGCCACCATGCCTGGCCGGTGTTGTACATTCTATGCATATTGGCAAATAGATATGATAACATGTATCCACCATTGTATTATCATACAGAATAATTTCACAGCCGTTAAATCCTCTGTGCTCTGCCTATTCATTCCTCCTTCCTCCTTAATCCCTGGCAACCACTGATCTTTTTATTGTCTTTATGGTTTTGGCTTTTCCGGTGTCATGTAGTTAGATTTGTACACTAAATAGCTTTCTGAGATTGGCTTCTTTCACTTAGTATTACACACTTAATGTTCCTTCATATCTTTCATGGCTTGAGAGCTCATTTCATTTTAGTGCTGAATAATATTCCATTGTCAGGATGCACCATAGTTTATCTGTTATTTACTGGGTGACATCTTTGTTGCTTCCAAGTTTTGGCACTCATGAATAAGGTTGCTATAAACATCTATGTGCATGTCTTTGTAGGCATCAGTTTTCAACTCATTTGGGTAAATACCAAGGAGCACAATTGCTGAATTGAATTGTATGGTAAGAGTACATTTAGTTTTGTAAAAAACTGCCAAAAATGTCTTCCAAAGTGGCTGTACCATTTTACATTCTCATTAGCAATGAATGAGAGTTCCTATTGTTCCACATCCTTGCCAGTATTTAGTGTTGTCAGTGTTTTGGATTTTGGCCATTCTGATAGGTGTGTAGGGGTATCTCATTTTACTTGTAATTCCCTAATGACAAATAATGTTGAGCATCTTTTTATATGCTTATTTACTAGCTGTCACTTTAGTGAGGTATCTTTTCAGGTCTTTTGCCTATAAAGAATTTTAAGAGCTCTCTTTTTTATATAACAGTTCTTTATCAGATAATGTCTTTTGCAAATATTTTTTCTCCCAGTTTATGCCTTGTCTTAATCTCTTGAATATTCCTTTTTTTTCTCAGAAATATGTTCAGCTTTGAGGGCATCTTCTAAACTTTTAAAATGTTAAATTTATAGATTATATAATACCATAAAGAATTTGACCTTTTAGAAGTTCATGCTTGGCTGGGCGCGATGGCTCACGCCTGTAATCCCAACACTTTTAGAGGTCGAGGCAGGTAGATCACCTATGGTCAGGAGTTTGAAACCAGTCTCACCAACATGGCAAAACCCTGTCTGTACTAAAAATACAAAATTAGCCAGGCATTGTGGCGGGCACCTGTAATCCTAGCTACTCGGGAGGCTGAGGCAGGAGACTCTCTCAAACCCAGGAGGTGGAGGTTGCAGTGAGCCAAGGTCGTCCCACTGCACTCCAGCCTGGGCAACACAGCGAGAACTCCATCATCTCAAAAAAAAAAAAAGAAAAAAAAAAAGAAGAAGTTGTTCATGTTTGTATTCCAAATATACAAAATATTGATTCCACATATCAGTTTTTCCTCTTCAGACTTTAAATTTACTTTTCAGGGGTATGAAGTGAAACTTGCAAATATACCTCAGTAAACTTTCTTTGCAATTCATGCCAATATAAGGATACGGCAAATGAGCCATGAAGAATATAATAAGATCATTATCCCATTGAGAAAATATTCATGAAACTTCTGCCGCCTTCTTTCTCTTCCCCTAAATGTGTCAAGTAACTAATTTCATAAAAACTGCTGGAAAATGGAAGTATTGCAGATTCCTTTATAAAGTAGTGCTCTGTTCATCAAAAATGCATATAAGTTTTGGTAATTTACCTAACAATTTGTTTCTCTAAGACTCATAATTCTAAAAACTGAGAGTTTTAATGACAGTAATTTAGTTTTCTCATTTCATAGCTTGTTTTAAAAAGAGAAAAATTTGTGTCTGAAAATGTAATCAACATGTTTTATAATTCTGCTATTTGTTTATTTGCATAAAGGATTTTTTAAAAATAGGATGATTTAATCTTTTAGTCAGAGGAATATATAATAATATAAGAATTGAGTCTTGTCTTAGCCCTCTCCATTTAAAAAATAAAGTTCTTTGTTTTCTGCCTAATTGAGTTTACAGATATGGTAAGAGTACATTTAGTTTTGTAAAAAACTGCCAAAAGTGTCTTCCAAAGTGGCTGTACCATTTTACATTCTCATTAGCAATGAATGAGAGTTCCTATTGTTCCACATCCTTGCCAGTATTTAGTGTTGTCAGTGTTTTGGATTTTGGCCATTCTGATAGGTGTGTAGGGGTATCTCATTTTACTTGTAATTCCCTAATGACAAATAATGTTGAGCATCTTTTTATATGCTTATTTACTAGCTGTCACTTTAGTGAGGTATCTTTTCAGGTCTTTTGCCTATAAAGAATTTTAAGAGCTCTCTTTTTTATATAACAGTTCTTTATCAGATAATGTCTTTTGCAAATATTTTTTCTCCCAGTTTATGCCTTGTCTTAATCTCTTGAATATTCCTTTTTTTTCTCAGAAATATGTTCAGCTTTGAGGGCATCTTCTAAACTTTTAAAATGTTAAATTTATAGATTATATAATACCATAAAGAATTTGACCTTTTAGAAGTTCATGCTTGGCTGGGCGCGATGGCTCACGCCTGTAATCCCAACACTTTTAGAGGTCGAGGCAGGTAGATCACCTATGGTCAGGAGTTTGAAACCAGTCTCACCAACATGGCAAAACCCTGTCTGTACTAAAAATACAAAATTAGCCGGGCATTGTGGCGGGCACCTGTAATCCTAGCTACTCGGGAGGCTGAGGCAGGAGACTCTCTCAAACCCAGGAGGTGGAGGTTGCAGTGAGCCAAGGTCGTCCCACTGCACTCCAGCCTGGGCAACACAGCGAGAACTCCATCATCTAAAAAAAAAAAAGAAAAAAAAAAAAGAAGAAGTTGTTCATGTTTGTATTCCAAATATACAAAATATTGATTCCACATATCAGTTTTTCCTCTTCAGACTTTAAATTTACTTTTCAGGGGTATGAAGTGAAACTTGCAAATATACCTCAGTAAACTTTCTTTGCAATTCACGCCAATATAAGGATACGGCAAATGAGCCATGAAGAATATAATAAGATCATTATCCCATTGAGAAAATATTCATGAAACTTCTGCCGCCTTCTTTCTCTTCCCCTAAATGTGTCAAGTAACTAATTTCATAAAAACTGCTGGAAAATGGAAGTATTGCAGATTCCTTTATAAAGTAGTGCTCTGTTCATCAAAAATGCATATAAGTTTTGGTAATTTACCTAACAATTTGTTTCTCTAAGACTCATAATTCTAAAAACTGAGAGTTTTAATGACAGTAATTTAGTTTTCTCATTTCATAGCTTGTTTTAAAAAGAGAAAAATTTGTGTCTGAAAATGTAATCAACATGTTTTATAATTCTGCTATTTGTTTATTTGCATAAAGGATTTTTTAAAAATAGGATGATTTAATCTTTTAGTCAGAGGAATATATAATAATATAAGAATTGAGTCTTGTCTTAGCCCTCTCCATTTAAAAAATAAAGTTCTTTGTTTTCTGCCTAATTGAGTTTACAGATAGTATTTCCAGACCCTGGTTATTATGTTAATTCATTGGCTCCTTTCATTGGAAGGGATCAGATTTCTGGCAACCAAGCCCACTGCCTTCCCTAACCACTGTTTTTCTCTCTGTTCCACAAAATAGTAAATCCTAAGCTTGAAATGATGGGAGACAGCCTAGAGTATAAAATAGAAAGAAAAGCAATTCATAAATAAGAAAGCCAACAGGATTTAGGCAGACAGATAAATCTGTGAACTGAATTGAGTTTCTCTTTTTGTTTTTTGCGCTGGAAGCTTTAGCTTTTTAATGAATAACATATGGATTGTGGTTTTCACCACAATGCAAAGAGGATAAAGTTTGGCTGATCTGATTAGGTTTTTTCTTCTTAGACTTAAATAAAGGAATATTTAAGGTGGAAGTTTCCATTTTTCTGTCTTTTTTTTTTTTTTGAGATGGAGTCTCGCTCCGTTGCCCAGGCTGGAGTGCAGTGGCACAATCTCAGCTCACTGCAGCCTCTGTCTCCCGGGCTCGAGTATTCTCCTGCCTCAGCCTCCCAAGTAGTTGGGATTACAGGCACACGCCACCAAGTGCAGCTAGTTTTTGTATTTTAATTAGAGACAGGGTTTCACCAAGTTGGCCGGGCTGGTCTCCCAACTCCTGACCTCAAGTGATCCTCCCGCTGCAGCCTCCCAAAGTGCCGGGATTATAGACATGAGCCAATGCGCCCAACCAAGAAGTTTTTATTTTTCTTAGATATTTTCCAGCGTAATCAAAAGCCTAGAAATAGAAAATAATCCTTTATAAACAAAAGTTTACTTACGCAAGTTTTTTTAAATTGGAGATTAATGCCACAGCATATTATGGTCTATTGCTGGAAATTACAAGTTAAGTACCAGTATTAGAGTACTATGTGCTAATTCAGAAAAAAATATACAAATGGTTTAAGTATATTTTTAGTAGTTATAATTTTTATTACTCTTTTTAATCTTTCTGAGGTAGAAGTTACTAGAAATTTTAAGTTATTTGGAAAATCATATTTAGCATTTAAAAATATGGTCAGTGAACTAATAGAAACAAATTTTGAATTTACTGACATAAGACATTGATTACATTGTATGACTTTCCAAAGCAGAGTGAAACTTACGCAGTAAGACAGCTTCTTATATTGTATTGGTGTATTAATGAGATTGTACCTACATCTTTTATTTTTTAAAGGGTTTTTATATGGTTGTAAATAGGCAGATTTTTTTTTGCTGAAGATATTTTTGTGACAGTGACACTTTCACTGTAACAGAACAGAACATTAGTATGCAAGAGCTTGCCGTTACTTTGGAGGAAGTGTAAATTCAGAGTTGAGGGATTGTGCAGGTAAAACAAATTGTCAGACCCAAAGATGGCCACTACGTGTTCATTTTTCTCCTATCCCAGAACCTGAAATTCATCTGCTTCACATTGACAAAATCAAATTTGGTAATTTACTACATCACAGAGTTCTTTTTTTCCTCTAGAATATTGGATGTAGAAATGCCTATTGTAAGACATCTTCAAGTCTGCATCTATAAAATGTTTCTTTACAATATGTCTGCTCTTTGTGAACAGTTATTTTTAAAATGTGCTCTGTGTGAAGTTATATTCTTAATGAAATTCATTGCTAAGAACATCCTTAAGGATAAAAAATATTTCTCAAATATTTCATCATCTTAGCATTGTTTATCTGAAATGCTTTGTGTTCACAGGAGGAGCAGGCAGCAAAATTGAAAGCTGAGAAGATCAGAGTTGCCCTAGAGAAAATTAAAGAAGCACAAGTGAAAAAGGTGATATGTGGGCCTCTTCCTGGTTTGGGATTTTTTATGTGTTACGGATTTGTAAAGAATTGCCTTGTTTATGTAATGTACCTCTGAGATGGGGAGAGATACAGAGGCATTTCTTCCTAGTAATATATTTTTCACATGTAGTATTTTTTGTGGGTAAAATGCATTATAAAAGGAGTAATTTTCTGGTTCTGAATTCTCCTAAAGGAGTAATCATAACATTATAACCTTATCTGTTGTTAATATTTTTAAAATGCTTTAAATTTACTTAAACAGGGTATTTGATGTCTGATTTTTAGCCTATATTTTTGCATAATGAGTCATTATTTGTGTTTTAATTTACATACAAATACATTAATCAAAATTTTATTTGATATCAGATGAGTGCCTTTTCTAGAATGCCATTTTTTAGTGTTCATTTGCTTTTCTTTTTACCTGTTATAGCTGGTGATTAGAGTCCACATGTCTGATGACAGTTCTAAAACAATGATGGTGGATGAGAGGCAAACAGTAAGACAAGTACTGGATAACCTAATGGACAAATCCCACTGCGGTTATAGTTTAGACTGGTCACTGGTAGAAACTGTTTCTGAATTACAAATGGGTTAGTAATATTGCTTTAATTGCTTTCTAATTTTTGTGTAACTTCATCAGTTTTCATGTTGATAAAACATTTCAAGTTACCTTTATAGATATATGTTTTTATTTTATTTTTATTTTTCTGGGGACAGAGTCTCACTCTGTCTCCCAGACTGAAGTGTAATGATGCGATCTCAGCTCACTGCAGCCGCTGCCCCCGGTATAAGCAATTATTCTGCCTCAGCCTCCCGAGTAGCTGGGACTACAGGCGTGCGCCACCACACCTGACTAATTTTTTGTATTTTTAGTAGAGATGGGGTTTCACCTGTTGGCCAGAATGGTCTTGATCTCCAGACCTTGTGATCTGCCCACCTTGGCCTCCCAAAGTGCTGGGATTGCAGGCTTGAACCACCACACGTGGCCGCATCTTTATGTATTTTTTCGATAAAATTACCTTTCATAATTTGGCTTCTTTACATTATTTTTTTCTGAAGTATTTTAAGAGTTCTTTGAATACAAGATCATTTCTAGTTCACTTCAGATTTTATAATGGCTAAAACAAAATTTTTTTTTTTTTTTTTTTTTTGAGACGGAGTCTCGCTGTGCTCCCAGGCTGGAGTGCAGTGGCGTGATCTCGGCTCACTGCAAGCTCCGCCTCCCGGGTTCACGCCATTCTCCCGCCTCAGCCTCCCAAGTAGCTGAGACTACAGGCGCCCGCCACCACGCCCGGCTAGTTTTTTGTATTTTTTAGTAGAGACGGGGTTTCACCATGTTAGCCAGGATAGTCTCGATCTCCTGACCTCGTGATCCACCCGCCTCGGCCTCCCAAAGTGCTGGGATTACAGGCTTGAGCCACCGCGCCCGGCCTAAAACAAAATTTTTTAAAAAGATAACAAAATAGTTTTTTTCTTCAGATAAGAACTGGATAGACTGATGCATTTACTAAAGATTATTATGTTAACTTGAATTTGTACTGAAGTCTTTAAACCAGCATTTGACTCAGGGGAAACATAAAACACATTAACAAATTTCAAAGAATCCATATCTAGAACATGTTCTTTAACATATGTTCAGTATACAGGACACGTTCTTTCATTTCTAATTTGGAAATTAGAAAATACACCTACATTTAAGATTAAACAACAGTCATGGATCAAAGAAGAAATCATCTTGGAAATGTTTTAAATGCCAAGAACTAAGTACAATTGGAAATACTTGATATTGAAACTTGTAAGATGTAACTAATGTTTTATTTTTAAGGGTGGGATAGGAAAATGTTTAAGACTGAAGAATGGTGTACTGCAAGTCAGAAAGCCTAGATTCTAGTCCTAGTTCTTCCATATATCAGCTGTGTGTGTGATCTTAGTTATGTCACTTAACATAATTAAGGCATATTTCTTTGTTGGAAAAATTAGGGAAGACCAGATAATTTTTAGTTGCTAAAATGTCAGTTAAGACTACTTGGTTCTGAGGTTAACTACTTCGCAAAGTTTCATGTCTTTCATGCAACTCTAATGAATACTAACAAAATATGGATATTTTATTTTGGGACAGAGAGAATCTTTGAAGACCATGAAAACTTGGTTGAAAATCTTCTTAACTGGACAAGAGATAGCCAAAACAAGCTTATATTTATGGAGCGTATAGAAAAATACGCACTTTTCAAAAACCCACAGGTAAGAGGAAACAACTTACAGAGGTCAGGATTTGTAAATATGTCTCCTATTTTATTTGATTACTGCTAAGTTAATAGAGTTAAAAGACTGGTAAACACCTGGTTGGAGCGATATACCTGCAAAATCCTTTAGGAGCATCATCTGCTGCTGCTGCTGCTGCGGAAAGTCAGCTGGTGCCTACGTGTTAGGCCCCAAAGAGGTTCCCAGTCCTCCAGAACCAGATGGGGTGAGCCCTTTCGGAAGCAGAAGTATAGCTCTAGTGAGTTACCAGGTCTTTTGGCTCTGTAATTCAGAGCTGTGTTGAACCCAGCTGTTTATTTGGTGAGTTTGTCATCTCATCAAAGAAAAGTACTTCTCTACTCCAGTCATTTATCCAGTTGACACTTCTTTTTAAACATCCTAGTAACCTTGATTACAAATGGCTCTACATTCTAATAAACATACTTAGATTTATTTGACATCTTTCCTTATTCCAAAATAATGTTTGAGTTAATACTTCCCAATACCTAGACATTTTACAAAATTCAGTAGGTGAGGGAAAACAACTCCACAGTAAAAAGTAGTAATGAGGAAAAATAGCAGCAGTGTTAAAGGTATTGCATAGTTATGCCTCAGGTGGCTTAATCATGACATGTCTTTTCCGGATGTTTTAGTGAAAAATACATATTTGGGGGTATCAACAGATCTTTTTGTAGGCAGTTATGAAAAATAATTACAGGCTGGGCGCAGTGACTTGCGCCTGTAATCCCAGCACTTTGGGAGGCCGAGGTGGGCAGATCACGAGGTCAGGAGATCAAGACCATCCTGGCTAACATGGTGAAACCCCGTCTCTACTAAAAATACAAAAAATGAGCCGGGCATGGTGGCGGGCACCTGTAGTCCCAGCTACTCGGGAGGCTGAGGCAGGAAAATGGCCTGAAGCTGGGAGGCGGAGCTTGCAGTGAGCTGAGATTGCGCCACTGCACTCCAGCCTGGGTGACAGACTGAGACTCCGTCTCAAATAATAATAATAATAATAATAATTACAGTCAGCCCTCTATATCCATGGGTTCTGCATCTGTGGATTCACCCAACTGCAGATCTAAAATATTCAGAAAAATAATTCAGGTTCCAAAAAACAAAACTTGAATAAGCCACGTGTTGAATACTGCATTGAATTCATGCAAATTAAGTGATATGTAGGCATTGTATTAGTTATTATAAGTAATCTAGAGATTATTTCTAGTACAAGGGAGAATTTGCATAGGTTATATGCAGATGTGACCCCATTTTTATAAGAGACTTAAGCATCAGCAGATTTTGGTATACAGGGGAGGTCCTAGAATCAATCTCCTATGGACAACAAGGGATGACTGTGTACTAATGAGTAGAATTCAGTTTTTTTGTTTGTTTGTTTGCTTTTTGTTTTTGTTTGTTTTTTTGAGACGGAGTCTCGCATTATTACCCAGGCTGGAGTCAGTGGTATGATCTTGGCTCACTGCAACCTCCTCCTCCAAGCGATTCTCCTGCCTCAGCCTCCTGAGTAGCTGGGACTACAGGTGCATGCCGCCACATCTGGCTAATTTTGTGTTTTTAGTAGAGATGGGGTTTCACCATGTTGGTCAGGCTGGTCTTGAACTTCTGACCTCGTGATCTGCCCGCCTTGGCCTCCCAAAGTGCTGGGATTACAGGTGTGAACCATCGTGCCTAGCCAGAATTCAGATTTTTAGTTGAGTCAAGTAAATGAGATTATTAATAAATGAGAACCAGAGAATTTGGGATTTCTTCTTAAAAAGCCAGAACATAAATTTTCTGCACCTAGATCAGTATATTTCTAAACCTTTCAGATCCTTTAACTGTAGCTTTCATTAGATATCCCAAAACATATTTGCCAGCTGTTGAATGTAATATCACCTCACAGTCTGGGTGAGGACAGTTTATGACGAGTGACCAGGCAAGGAGGAGACTGGTGTTAAGCATTTTAGTGATGATGCCCATATACAGGTAACTTTTCAAAGTTTATTCTACTCTATATCAACAGAAATTAGAGTTGCTATTTCTCTAGAAGAAAACATACACCTGTGCCAAGGGAATAACAGAATGGATTTATGCTTTAACCTTCTTTTTTTCTCCCCCACCTATCCCTTCCATGTATTTGTTTTTCCAGAATTATCTTTTGGGGAAAAAGGAAACAGCTGAGATGGCAGATAGAAACAAAGAAGTCCTGTTGGAGGTATGACACCCCCCATTTTCTTGTACATTGAAAAATTAAAATATTAGGCCAGGTGTGGTGGCTCACACCTGTAATCCCAACACTTCAGGAGGCCGAGGCGGGTGAATCACAAGATCAGGAGTTCAAGACCAGCCTGGTCAAGATGGTGAAACCCTGTCTACTAAAAAATACAAAAATTAGCCGGGCATGGTAGTGGGTGCCTGTAATCCCAGCTACTCAGGAGGCTGAGGCAGAGAATTGTTTGAACCCACGACGCAGAGATTGCAGTGAGCCGAGATCGCGCCACTGCATTCCAGCCTGGCAACAGAGTGAGACTCTGTCTAAAATAAAAAATAAAATAAAATAAAATAAAATAAAATAAAATAAAAATCCTTTTTGAAGTCAAGTATGTCAGGGTTCTATATTTGTAGTTACAATTTTAACTAAAGAAGACTGTGTATTCTTTGATAGTATGAGGGAGAGAGTTCAAATGTGTTGAATGTGTTAGGCCACTGAAGACCCTTTTAAAAACTATTATTTTGCCAAGCCATATTCTAATGGTCTAAGAGTAATGAGCTTTTAGGGGCTGCCAAGTGGGAGAGATGGCTGGTCAGTGAAGGATGTGGTTTTGCTGTTTTTATCTGTTTACTCAGAGAGAAATTTGAATATAATTAGCTGTTCACAAAATATTTCCAGCTTTATCCTTAAATAATTCAAATAATTTAAAAAATCATGGTCATTTTTTCTTGGAAAAATGTAATTGAGTTTTTGGCTGATTTTAAAGAACTAAAATCAAGTAAGTTAGTATACTTGAAAACCTGAATAAACCTTTACTTACCAGCAAGGCAATCAGGAAGTGAAGATCGGCATTCAGTTTTCATAGTGATACAAGCTACAGTTAAGTAAAAATCTGCCTTATAATTCCTAATTTTTCTGTACTTTGAGGAGAAATTAATTTAGGCCCAAATGTCCTATATTAGTGTTCTCTGAGGATTTCTCTTTTCTTTCACAAATACATGATTGATTTCTTTAATATTAGATTTTTATCAAAGCATAGTGTTTAGAACTTAGCATTTTAAGTGTTTATAGTTCTTTCATCCTCGTATTAAGTATTTTTTAAACAAATGCCCTCTTTGTCTTAGTCACATAAATGGATAGTTTTTAAATTCTTAAAGTTTAATCATATACTTAGCATGTTGCATTCTTTTAAAATATATTCCTGTTTAGTTTGACAGCTAATCTAAATGTGGAGAAAAAATAAAGTCTAATGCTTGGTTTGCCCTGACAGTTTTATTAAATTTAGTGTAACTATGCTGTTTACAAAGGTATTTAGCTACTGTTATATGCAACTCAGTTAATGTGTCAACTTAGTTTTTCTCCGAAACACTAATGTGGTTTAGGTAAAAGTTTGTAGGTAAAAATTCAGTATCACATTTATGACTGGCATTTTTATTTAGTAAACATTTTAGGATTGCCATAGTAGTTCCAAACTCGTGTTGTCTTTAGAATAGAAAGTGGTTTTGTTTTTGTTTTTGTTTTGAGACAGTCTTGCTCTGTTGCCGAGGCTGGAGTGCAGTGATGTGATCTCAGCTCACTGCAACTTCTGCCTCCCAGGTTCAAGCAATTTTCGTGCCTCAGCTGCCCACGTAACTGGGACTATAGGCTCGCGCCACCATTCCCGGCTTATTTTTATTTATTTATTTATTTAAGTAGAGATGTGGTTTCCCTATGTTGGCCAGGCTGGTCTCGAACTCCTGACTTCAAGTGATCCACCTGCCTCGGCTTCCCAAAGTGCTGGGATTACAGGCATGAGCCACCGCACCTGGCCGGAAAGTTCTAATTGAGGTTAAATTAGCAGCTTGGTTTTAATATAAAACCATTTTGGTTTAATAACTAACTGTCATGCATTTCACAGGAGTAAACACAACTTTGTTCTGAGAATCCAACGATCATAAGTCTTTCCAAATAATCTTGTTCTTTTAGGAATGTTTTTGTGGAAGTTCTGTAACTGTACCAGAAATTGAAGGAGTCCTTTGGTTGAAGGATGATGGCAAGAAGTCCTGGAAAAAGCGTTATTTTCTGTTGCGAGCATCTGGTATCTACTATGTCCCCAAAGGAAAAGCAAAGGTGTGTCCCTTCTGTTGGAACTTGAACTTCCTCATTATGCTAATTGCTTTTAATTTGTATTGAGTATGCTGACAAGGTGAACCCAGGCTATGATTTGTTTGAATTCATGGAAGACATAGAATATTGCTTTATTAATCTATTATAAAGAAGAAGAAACCTGAAAGTTCTTACTTCTCTGGTCACTAGTTGAGCCTATCTCAGTTCTCTTTACCAAATTTGTAATCATAGTTTTATTAGTTGTTTTTTGGGGACTCAGTTCTGGAGTAGTTTTGTTTATTTTTGTTTGGGAAGAACAGCACCGCTCTCTGGGATTACAGACTTTTTTTATCTTGTTTGGGTAATATGCTTCTGCTAAGGGCCACCCTGCTGCAGTTATCACTTTGGTGTTTATTGGCATCAGGACTGTTTTAAACTTTTTTACAGTATTATCTCATCTAGTCTTCATGACAGTCCTATGAACATATACTGTTGCCCCTATTTAACTGGTGAAAACCTCCCCCAACCAGTTGCGAATCACTGTACTTGACATATGCATTATAGGCGCCGAACGACATGGTATTTTCTTGTTCTTTCCAGAGAGCTCTATTATACAATATTGTTTTTAATGTACTAGACTATATTAATAGTATCTTTAAAATGCCAACACTCCTTAACAAGTTAGTATTCATTGTGAATGACAAAACAGTATGTAAAAGGGGCTGCTTTTTTTGTTACATTGATGATTAAAGAAGAAACATTAATGGAGCATCTCATTGTCTTGTGTAAAATAGCAATAATTTCTATTTAGTATTAGCAAAAGCAGTTTTGATTCTCACCTAGAAACTGTTAACCAGGTATATTTGCTTGTTTGTGCATTATTAATTTTATCTTTTTGGTATTTTTATCATAGGTCTCTCGGGATCTGGTGTGCTTTCTCCAGCTGGATCATGTCAACGTTTATTATGGCCAGGACTATCGGAACAAATACAAAGCACCTACAGACTATTGTCTGGTGCTGAAGGTAAATACATATCTCTTTTTAGGAATTTTAATTGATGTTAGACATAGAACAGGTTATTGGACATTTTAGAATTGTTGAGATACCATCAATTACACTGTTTTTGCTTTATTCTCAAAGTTTAAAAAGGAATGGTGAAGTGTGGTAAGGAAAAGAAGCACGTGCTATATCATAGCAGACCCTGAACCAGTTATCTCTAGGTAAGGAGTGAATATTAGGTTGTAAGTTTTGAGTTGTGAGCTATAAAATGTCTTTGATTATAAATTTGAGATTATCATTTAACACTAGGCTTATTTTAGGGAAACTTAGAACAGAGCCAAATAGAGGTCATAAATGTGCTTTAGTTCTTTTCCTGTACTTACTCAGCAAACCATCAGAGGGCATTGTGTCCAAGTTCAAATCAGAGTGGCTGTCAACTGGTCCAGAAATAATTTTTGTCTCTTTTTTTCCCTCAACTACAGTCATGATAGCCCATGCATGTATTGCGACCTGAGCTGTTTTTAGGAAGTTTTTTTTTCTTCTTTATTCAAGCTTTTATACTTCTTACAATGATTATATCTGTACTTTTGAGAAGAACTGACATTTTAAGCAAATTTACAGTGATCTATTAGAACACTGATAAAAACGACATACAAAAATTCAAGAAAATTATGGAGATAATTTTTTTTTTTCTTTGGCTCCATCTTTGTAATTCCTTGGTAACTACTTAGGTCTACATGTTGATATCGTCGTGTTTAGTTTCACTTTTCTCAGAATTGTCACTTTAGTTTGGTGATGGCCATTAGTTTAGGAGTTTTAGGATTTTAGGATTTTGGAGTTTTGATTGCTTTGATAAAGTTCAGTACATTGTAATGGCAACCTTTTTTTTTTTTTTTTTTTTTTTTTTTGAGGCAGAGTCTTGCTCTGTCACCCAGGCTGGAGTGGAGTGGCACAATCACAGCTCACTGTAGCCTTGACTTTTCAGGCTCCAGCAATCTTCCCAGCTCAGTCTCCCAAGTAGCTGGGACTGCAGGCGCATGCCACCACACCCAGCTAATTTTTGTGTTTTTTTGTAGAGACAGGATTTAGCCATGTTGCCTAGGCTAATCACAGACTCCTGGCCTCAAGTGATCCGCCTGCCTAGGCTTCCCAGAGTGGTAGGGTTACAGGCAGAGCCCCTGCTCCCGGCCAAAATGGCAACCTTTTATTAAATAATTGTGTTTTTGGGGAACACCACTGAATCATTTTAGGTACCTTTAGGTGCAAATACTTTTTTAAAAGTCAGTGCAAAGTAGCTTAATTCAGCAGTTTTCAAAATGATGTCTACAGTCTCCTAAGAGTCAGTCCCTAAGACCATGATGTTAAAATTATTTAATAATGCTAAGATGTTATTTGCCTCTTGAACTTTCATTCTCTCACATATGTATAGTAGAGTTTTCTAAAAGGTTATATGACATGTGATGGTATCTTCACGCTAGTGTAATGTGTGTTTGTCTATTCTTTTTTATTTATTTATTTTTGAGACAGTCTCACTCTGTCTCCCTGGCTGACGTGATCTCGGCTCACTGCAACCTGTGCCTCCCGGGTTCAAGCAATTCTCATGCCTCAGCTCCCCGAGTAGCTGGGACTACAGCCACATGCCACTACACCCAGCTAATTTTTGTATTTTTAGGAGAGATGGGGTTTTGCCATGTTGGTCAAGCTGGTCTTGAACTCCGGACCTCAAGTGATCCGCCTACCTCAGTCTGCTGAAGTGCTGGGATTACAGGCGTGAGCCACTGTGCCTGGCCTGGCAGCTGTGTATTCTTGTAGTTTAATTTTTTCTTAGTTATAATTTCTAATGTAAGTATTGCTGGGGTGGAAAAACTTCACTTCCATCCTCTTAGGGTCCTGGCTGGGCACACGAATTAAGTTGACATAAGAGATCAGCAGAAGAAAAGCATAATTACTTGTATACTGGATTGGACAAAGAATAATTTGTGAAGAAGCAACTAAATTATACGTGAAGCCTTAAAGATACGAGTTATTTTAACAAGGTCTGTACAGAATTCTGTTGGTTTCAACTTCTCATCCCTGAGGAGAAAGATATTGTCGCTTTCTAGTATTGGGAAGGCATCTTTCGCATGGTAATTTCATCTTCTAAGGCTTTTAAGAAATAGCATGAAGGTCAGAGTGATCTTCTGTACCTGCTGTTTTTCAAGTGTCTTTTAACTTAATATGCCAGGGTGGTACATTTTTAACTCCTTCAATATCAGTAGACATAATCCACATAAAATAAAGTTATTGGGGGATCTCATAACATGAAAACAGTAAGAGTTGGTTGGTTATTTCAGTGGCTCAACGTTGTCAGTGAGAACTCAAATGCTTTCCATCTTTTCTTGTTCTACTTCCACATACCAGCTTATTCTCGGGCTGACTCACCTCACAGTCACAAGATGGCTGCTGCAGTTCTATGCATCACATGTAGGCTCAGCAAAATCCAGCCAGCAGAAGGATTATTCCTCCCTGTATTTGTCTTTTATAAGAGGAAGGAACTATTTCACAAAAGTTACTCAACCACCCCTTTTGAGAGTTACTGGCCCAGAGTACATTTTCTGCTGACAAGCCAATCACTGACAAGGGAATAAAACTACTATGGTTGGCTTACAGCAGTCAGAATTCACACCCTGTGGGATATAGGTGAGAGGTAAGGCTCTGCCAGGAAAGAAGTGGGGAGGAGGAGACAGCCATAGGGGCCTGCACCCAACCCGTCAGCGTCATTTAAAAAATGAAATGTTGACCTTTCTTTCTTAATAGGTATTCATCTGTTTTGGGAGCAATTTCATTATATGTTCTCTGGACTCTTTTAAGAATCTAAATGTTGAACTTCTGGTGTGTTTTTTTGTTTGTTGTTTTGTTTTGTTTTGTTTTGTTTTGTTTTGTTTTGTTTTGTTTGAGACGGAGTCTCGCTCTGTCGCCCAGGCTGGAGTGCAGTGGCCGGATCTCAGCTCACTGCAAGCTCTGCCTCCGGGGTTTACGCCATTCTCCTGCCTCAGCCTCCTGAGTAGCTGGGACTACAGGTGCCCGCCACCTCGTCCGGCTAGTTTTTTGTGTTTTTTATTAGAGACGGGGTTTCACCGTGTTAGCCAGGATGGTCTCGATCTCCTGACCTCGTGATCCGCCAGTCTCGGCCTCCCAAAGTGCTGGGATCACAGGCTTGAGCCACCGCGCCTGGCCTGAACTTCTGGTTTTTAGCAATGAATGTCTCCTCCAGACTTCCTCTTAACCCTGGTGTAATTTTTAAAATGACAGCATAATATTGTGGGGAAAAAAGGAGCAGAGGTAGCAGATTCAAAGGAGGCACATTTTAATAAGGCAGTAGTATGAAATAGTAGTTAAAAGCATGCACCCTGGGATGAGATTGCATGGGTTCAGATTCTAGTACTACTTTTCACTTAATCGGAAGCAATTTTGAGTGCTGTTTTAACCTTACTGTGTGCCTTGCTTTCTTCTTGCAACATGGAGATAATATGTAACTCAGAGGGGTTTTGTGAGTATTTAGTGAAAAATATGAAGTATGTGAAATATTTTACATAGTGTCTAGTACATAGCAAGGGTGCAATAAATGCCACTTTTAATGAAATAATGTATTAGCAGAACAGACAATCTGCAGAGGTAGGTACTTGTACAGAGCCTGGATGACCATAAGGAAAAGTAATGAATGCCTTTATTATGTGAGAGGATGAAAATTTTTTTTGAGGTTCTAAAAGGAATTTTAAACTAGCAAGTAATCTGATACTTGACTTAAAAAGACTCATAGTTATACCATAGTACTCTTCAGGTTATTATCTGTATTCCCAGGTTAGAGAGATGAGGAGAACAGGGTGGAGGATAATTTCTCTTTGATTGTCCCAGATGTTGTTTTGATTTAAAAAATAATAGTAATAAACCCTATTTTTGTGCAGAACGCATAGAAGCACACATGCACACTCAGGCTTCTGCTACAGTTGAACAACCATGCAGTCAAGTTTGCAAATCACCATTAAGGGAGGGGGTAGTGATACAGCTGCCAGCCACCTAAAGCAGCTTGCAGAGATCTCTGAACCTTGCCCTGCAGGCAGTGCCTCCATGAAGCAGAACAGTCTCTTAAGCCCTCACTGGCAACACTAACAAAGCTCTTTTCAGTTGGCCTATTTTATCTTCTGCACAAACTACAGCTTCTGTTTTGCTCATCACTAAACCTACTTGAAGCACCTGGCAAATAGTTCTCAATAAGTATCTGTTGAATGAATGAGGTAAAATCCTCCTTCCTCCTTTTATAGAGGAATACATACTTCTCTGTCTGCCCTCCTTTACTTTTTCAAGATCACTATTATGGTTTGTTATAATGTAATTTACCATGGACAAGGAGCGTATTCCAAGAGAGGGCCTATATTATCAGGAGGGAAGACTGTTAGGTATGATTTTGCTGACCTCTTATTGTTGAGGGTGTATTGTTTAAAACTGACTATAACCTTCGACAAGAAAATTGGTTTTGGTATTAAATGTTACAGGAGCTGAGCTCTGAAAAACAAAGAATAGAATTAATAGGTTTACTTTTTTTTCCTCATTGTAGACCAAAGTGATTGATCTTTAACGATGCAGATACATATAACTTCTATTGGTGGCCATCTATTCTTGATGCATTGAAAACGTCTTTAAATTGCTTGTTTTATTGAGCTTATTGATATTGAGATTATCACAACCAATTAATATAATCGGGGAATTTTGGAAAACTAAATTCTTTTAAAGCTTTTTTTCTTTGTTTTTTTTGGAGACGAAGTCTCGCTCTGTCACCCAGGCTGGAGTGCAGTGGCACAATCTCGGCTCACTGCAATCTCTGCCTCCTGGGTTCAAGCGATTCTCCTGCCTCAGCCTCCTGAGTAGCTGGGATTACAGGCATGCGCTACCACGTCTGACTAATTTTTGTATTTTTAATAGAGACAGGGTTTCACCATGTTGGTCAGGCTGGTCTCGAACTCCTGACCCTGTGATTCACCTGCCTCGGCCTCCCAAAGTGCTGGGATTACAGGTGTGAGCCACCGCGCCTGGCCTTTTTCTTTGTTAAAAGTGAACATGAATTTAAATTTTTTTCCAGGCAAATTATAGCCATTAGTTTTTTTTGGTTTTCGTAACAGTTGAAAAGAGATGTGGTAATCCTAAGTCATTACATTCAGAACAAGTGTGATTTAGGGCTTTTCTTTCCAAGGACCTGGTGATTGAGCCTCAGTGGTGTTAGAATTCCTTAAACATATTCCTAACACCTGGATTTTGTAGCCAAGGTTAAGTCTGTCACCTCTGATCTAAGCCTCAACTGAAAAGTACAGTGGGTTGTGAAAACTAAATGTGATTATGTTGTTGACATCTACATGTCCCCTGGAGGCACGTGCTGCAGCCCTGCAGTTTGGTAGAGAGTGGGGCCTACAGGGCTGTACTCACCTGTGACAGGTGTGACTGTAGACTCTTGTCCCAGGTGCTGTGCCATAGGCTTGGTGTACCCAGCCCAGTAATTCACCTCACCTCTAGACACTGAAGCTTTGTCAAAGTCCCTGTCTGATTTGGAGTCTTCTGCACTCATAATTTCAGTGGGTTGAAAGTGAAATTAAACATTCTCTTCCTTTTCATAATCTTATAGATGGAGAATTCTATGGACTTGGTTAACCTTGATGAACTTTGTTTCTTTGAAATGTAGAAGGAATGTTTGAGAATTTCCCAAGATGTGAAGATCTGTTTTAACTTGGACATCTTGACCTAACATTTCGCAGAAGTTTCTTTCTCGTTTACTTTGTAAAATTTCTTATGGGCTATTTTATTTGGCCTTATGGCCATATGAGAAGCGTAACTGTATTGGCCATTACTCTAATGGCCTGTAACTTGTCAGGATATGTTTAAGCTTTGATAAAGTTTGTTTTTCTTTAGTTTTCCAAGGGACTTAGTTGGATTTTGTCTTTAATCTTGCAGCATCCACAAATCCAGAAGAAATCTCAATATATCAAATACCTTTGTTGTGATGATGTGAGGACACTGCATCAGTGGGTCAATGGGATCCGCATTGCAAAGGCATGTTTCCTTTTGATTTGATGATGGAATCATGAGGTGTTTGATGATACAGTTTCGTTGTCATGACAGTTATTCTGACTTTGATGTTCATGGATTTGCCAGCGCCTAGTTTTTTCAGGCCTAAGTTTCAAGTTTTAAATGTTGTCTTTTTTCCTTATTTATAGGGATAAACTTTTAACATTTGGTATACTTGGAATAATACTGCTGGTAAAAGCTTGTGTAGTATCAAAGTGATTTAATTTGGGTTTGGAGAATGCATTATATGATTCTTAAATAGTGGAGTTTAGCCTAAGCAAAGTAAGTTTTGGAAAAATTAAATTACTTTTAAGTAATGATCATTTACCAACCACATTTGGAGCAGTATCCTGAAGAGTGCTGAAAAGCTGCCCTTGAATCAAGAATTTGGGGTGAAAAAACATTAATGTTTATAATGAACAGAATCAAGTGTTGACTTCTTGCTGTCCCTCTAAAAATGAGGGAGAAATCAGAATAGATTATAATTTATGGTATTAGAAGAATTTTTGAAGTATCATAGGTATTAATTTTAATACAGACCATCAATCAGTAAACAGCAGTATGTCCCCCATTTTACCTTATCGTTCTGTATCATACTCAGTGAAGTTTAGATGTCACCATTTCCTGTCTTCGCTTTAGTATGGGAAGCAGCTCTATATGAACTACCAAGAAGCCTTGAAGAGGACAGAGTCAACCTGTGATTGGACCTCCTTATCCAGCTCCAGCATTAAATCAGGATCCAGTTCTTCCAGCATCCCAGGTAGTTCAAAATGCTTCAAAGCACTATTTTGTGATTAATATGAAGGTTTCTATAGAGACTGATAGTAGACCTGGAAATTTCAACTTGATTCTTAAAAGCCGGAGCCATACTTAATTCCTAAATTATAATCAATAGATGCCTTTTTAAAAATTGTTAGAGGGCACAGTATCATGGGCTAGTTCACAAATGTATCTGACATGAAAAATCAGTATATAGACTTTTAAAACCAGTTTTATTTATATTTATATAATTTATTCAAAACACACATACTGCTAGAAAACCACTGTTACTGCATAATTTGGGATAAAGCATTACTTGGAAAAAGTCTTTGTACTCAGAATCCATGAAGAAGCCGTACTCCTTCAGATTCCTATATCCTTTAAGATGTGCTATGATCACATCTTAAGATAAATCTTTCAATTGAAAATGTTTCATGAATGAGATCCATGTCATCTAAAAGCAGAATTTTTAAATTTTTGCATTGGATGTGATGAAAGAAATAATAACTTTAAGTAGTAGTATATTTAGAAGCTGTATGACTCTATTTCATCTCTATTAAGTAAAAATAAATTTAGAATGTGTATATACACATACATTTCCTAGTTCTGTCCACTGAGAGGGACAGAAGCAGTGATAGCCCAGGAACATGAGAATACCCAGTCCCTAGATCATAGAGGTTTCTTTTTGTTTTTTTTGTTTTATTAAATTTTGGCCAAGGATGCTGCTTAAATAGATCATGGTTTCTAATACTGTTCTTCCAAAAAAAAAAGAAACCAGGGCTGTCAGAGAAATGGCTAATTATAGGGCTGCAGCAGTGAATATATATAGGATGAGCCTGGAGCATATTGTAATGCCAGAAAGTAAGGGAATGCTTAAAAAACAACAGTGGGGCCAGGCACAGTGGCTCATGCCTGTAATGCCAAGGCTTTGGGAGGCCTAAGTGAAGGGATCACTTGAGCCCAGGAGTTCAAAACCAGCCTGGGCAGCACAGCAAGACCCCATCTCTAGAACTTTTTTTTTTTAATTAGCCAGACTTGGTACTACACATAGTCCCAGCAACTCAGGAAGCTGAGGCAGGAGGATTGCTTGAGCCCAGAAGTTCAAGACTAGTGAGGTATAATCACACCATTGTGCTCCAGCTTGGGCAACAGAACAAGATGCTGTCTCACAAAAAACAAGATGAGAATATGTCAAAGGGATACCTAGAGGAGCCAGTCTGAAAGAGCTCCAAAGGTCAAAGCTGGAACAATTTGAGCAATATGATAATAAATGTAGTTATAGGATTGTAACCCATGGACATAAATATCCATGAGTTTATACTGATGTAAATAAATCACTGAATAAATAAATGGGGAAGAGGAGACAACTGTCCTGTGTAGATTTCTAAATGATTTATGAAGACACTTTGTTCTGAAGGAAGTGGAGCTTACCTCTTCAGTCCTCAGGTGTGGGCTGTGCTTAGTGCCTTGCTTCCAATGATCATGGAGCGGGGATTAGGGGTAACTTCACAGTGGAGAAACCTGACAAACACTGCTGCAACCACATGATCAAGGTCAATATCAGTAATAAGTCATATTGGTTATAGCTACCTTTGACATAGTGTGTGGGAATGGCTTTTTTCCTCTATGATCTTCCTCCCCAAGTTCCATAAACTCAGACTAATCCAGAGAAAAAGCATCAGACAAACCAAAACTGAGAGACAGTCTACAAGATACCTGACCACTATTCCTCAAAACTATTGAAGTCATCAAAAACAGGAAACTCTGAGAAGCTGTTACAGGAGACTGGATGATTAACTGTAGTGTGGTGTCCTGGATCAGAAAAGGGACATAGGGAGAAATAGTGAAATCCGAATAAAGTTTGGAGTGTAGTTAATAGTAGCAGGGCATTTCCTTAGTTGTGACAAATGTAGCATAGTAATGTAACATGTTAATAATGGGGTAAAGGGAATAAAATTAAAAGAGGACACTTTTTTCCCCAAGGAGAATTTCTTTAAAACCAAACATATTGCTAAATGGGTAAACTGGATGCCAGGTATGTAGGAATTCTGTGCTCAAATTATTCTAATATTCAAATATCTAATATGTAGATATCTGAAACTATTCTAAAAAAATGTTTATTAAAATGGAAAACAAAACCAAAAAACCCTTTCAGAACATGGGTTAGGAAGGACAAAGTAAAAAGTAGGTAGCAAGTAGGATTTTAGAAAAGGAAATTAAAGGATAGAAGATTGAGAAAAGATGAGTATTTTTAAAAAAAATTACCTAGCACTTAAGTGCTTTAACACATTATTTTATGAAGTAGTTTAGGTATAGTGCCTTTTCCTGCTCCGGCAGCATTCATACACTTTGTGTAAAGTATTAGGCAGATGTTAAAAAGGGATGATAAATGAGGCTAGTGAAGTTTTAACTTTTTAAAAATGACTCAGCTATTGGGTGATCAAGAATGAAGAAAATACAGTAGGTTTTATTTTATGTTGTATTGTATTTTTGCCCTGAGGACATTATCTTAAATGTCTCCAGAGGAGTTTGGGTTTAGGGTTTATTTGTGGCTCTTATCTTTGACTACCCTGGCTGAAGTGCTTAATATGACATTCTAATGATACCCACCCATCACAGTGATTGGATGGGATCAGCTTTAACATTTGAGTTTCCTTTAGATACCAGGCATCAAGTTAGGTGCGTTCACATGGTTACATTACCTGCTCTGGAGTCCATTGAAACAATTTTGCTAGTCCCTCAGCCTTCCCCTTCCCCTTCCCCTTCCCCTTCCCCTTCCCTTTCCCCTTCCTTTTCCCCTTCCCCTCCCATCACCCAGGCTGGAATGCAGTGGTACTATCATAGCTCACTTAAGCCTCCTGGGCCCAAATGATCCTCACACCTCAGCCTCATTTAGGCAGCAGAGAGACACATAGCCATTCCTACCAGGCCCCACTCCTTTCAAGACTTTTTTTGTGCCTTGCTGAGAGGCCAAGATACAGCACAGCTGCCACCCTATGGGGCCAATACCTAAATCCCTAGGAAACACACTTCCCACTGGAGGGTCAAATTCTAAGTATTGATCATTGCTAGAAAAAAGGAAATAATCATTGTGTATAGATCCGAAATCCTAAGTTACAATTCTGGGGTGACCTTAGGGCAGGGGTATTAAAAAAACTGATTCTCAGTGTAGCGCAGACATGATTGAGAGACTCCTGTACTGATGGTTCATTAATTCTTTTATTGTTTAGAGTTGATTTCATGAAAGACTGGGTGTCAGGATACCAATAATGTTATGTGAATCATTTATTATAATTATCAGTCTCTCATGGTGAAGTATTTAAAACTAATCTGAGATTTCCTATTAATTCCAAGGTAAGGAAAGTTTTCTAGAAGATACTGGCTGTGTTTATGATGAAACGAGTAAAATAACTTGGTACTGTTCTACACAGCACCTGACCCTGTGTAAAAGATCTAACTAGACATATATATTAATACTGTCAGAATACTGACTCTTTTAATCTTATGTTTTAAAAACTATTTTAAACAGAATCTCAGTCAAATCACTCCAATCAGTCTGACAGTGGAGTTTCTGACACCCAGCCAGCAGGACACGTCCGTTCGCAGAGCATCGTGAGCTCCATATTCTCTGAAGCCTGGAAGCGAGGCACTCAGCTGGAAGAGTCCAGCAAGGTAACAACCTCGTTTTAATTGACATAGAAAATTCCGTGGTTTTCTGTTGCGTTTAAATTGTTAACTCTTTTATGTCTTTATTAGGGATCTTATTTGGCCTTATTTCGGTCTCGTTTATTAATTTTCAGTTTTCCTAATTGTAACGGGTAAAGACGGTTCAGAGAGACCTGTTGATTTGACTTCCCCTTGGAAACGAATATTTACAAATTGGCTCTAATGACTTAAAATCTTAAAAAAAAAAAAAAAAAAGGGCAGTTTAATTATTTTATCAGTGGCTCAGATTTTCAAGAAATAACAATTTCTTCCTTTCCACCCTTAAGCAGTTTGGATGGCAAAACACCATCTATTGCGAATGCCCTAAATTCTAGAGAAACTGTTTACAGTTGTCTCTCTTCTTTTCTGTCTCTCTCTTTTTTTTTGGACAGAGTCTGGCTCTGTGGCCAGGCTGGAGGGCCGTGGCACGATCGAAGCTCACTGCAGGCTTCGCCTCTGGGCCTGAAGCGATCCTCCTGCCTCAGCCTCCCGAGTAGCTGGGATTGTAGGCACACGCCACCACGCCCGGCTACTTTTTGTATTTTTAGTAGAGACGGTTTCACCGTGTTGGCCAGGATGGTCTCCATCTCTTGACTTTGTGATCCGCCTGCCTCAGCTTCCCAAAAGTGCTGGGATTACAGGCGTGAGCCACTGTGCCCAGCCCCTTTTTTTTTCTTTTCTTCTTTTTTCTCTTCGTTCCTTCTCTCCTTTCCTTCCTCCCCTCACTTCCCTCCCTTCCTCCCCTTCCTTCCTAACATTCCTTCTCTCCCTTCTTTCCCTTTCTTTCCTTCCTTCTCCCCCTCCCTTCCTCTCCCTTGCCTTTCCCCAGGCTGGAATGTAGTGGTATTATCAGAGCTCATTTAAGCCTCCCGGGCTCAAATGATCCCCCCACCTCAGCCTCCTTGCTCACCTCAGCCTCCCGAGTAGTTGCCTGAGTAGTTGGGACTACAGGTGCACGCCACCATGCCGGGCTAGTTTTTTATTTTTTTGGTAGAGGCAAGGTCTGGCTATTTTGCCTGGGCTGGTCTCAAACTCCTGGCCTCAAGTGATCCTCTCGCCTCAGCTTTCCAAAGTGCTGGGATTACAGGCATGAGCCACCATATTCAGTCCAGTTATTTCTTTATTGGTTAATTTATTCAGACTCATTCCTTACCTTTTTTGTTTTTTGTTTTTTTTTAATGCTTTTGCCACTTTGGGCATTGATAAATTTTTTCAAATTATACTTTATGTGGAAGACTAAATTAAAATCAGTTCCCTTAAAATTTTGGATTCCTGAGCCTTGCATAATAGATTGTTCAGTGAGACTGAAGGATGAGTATAGTTATTGCAAGGCTATAAATTAGAAAAATAGAGAGGTTCTTTAGTTCATTTTAAAGACATCATGGCCTTCTATCAGACATCCTCTGTAGTTGTGTAGGCAGGGATGTGTCCTGGCTGTAGGCACCATTTCAATATGCGAGAGGCCACTCCATCATTGAGGAACCAGTGGCACCCTGGGCTTGACTATTTTATTTTTATTAATAATTGTTTTTATTTATTTAATTTTTTGGTGGGGGGTGCTTTTGGTCTGAGTCACTTATACAGGTACATTCATGAATGAGAATAAATGGACATTTTTCCTTTTATTCCTTCATTTGCATATGTGGTTCACTAACTGGGCTCCCTCAGGGTAGAGAAGGCCTTAGTAGCACCATGTGGGGCTGAAGCCCTTTCCTTCAGAAATGAACATTTGAGAATTGGTTCTAACGATCTAAATTCTCAAAACACTGAATTTAACTCCCTTATTAGAGACCCAAACTTTTAAGCAATAATTCTCTCTCCCTTCCCCCATTTAATCAATTTGGATGGAGCTAGTACTCTAAAAATGTACTAGAGAAGTTGGTTTACACAATTCAGATGGCCAAAGAAAAACCCCTTTGCCTTATCAAATTACTAACGGTGAGCTCCGTGTGCATTTTAAGTTATAGAACCTGGTTATGTGTAAGGCCAAGGAAAACAAAATCACAGACCCAAAATGTTCTGTGATTAAGCAGCAAAGTCCACCACTGCACAGAGTTTCAGAAGAGTAGGAACCCTGCTGTCAGCAGTCATGATTTAAGGCTTGATCACTCTGTGTTTCTTCTCCTGTTACCTCAGTCTCAGGTGCCAGATGAGAAGGCCAGCACAGCTAAGGCCTGCGCCCCTGAAGCAGCCAAGACAGGGTCAAGTTAAGGTCAGGGGTTGTTCTCTGGAAACACATTAACCTCGGTGACACCTGTAACCCAATCTCACAGACTAATACTTTCTTTTTGTGTAATTTTAAAAGAAACATGTGAGTGTCCTGCTGGCCATTAGAATTCAGCCCTATAATGAGCCTTCTAGTTCACTAACCCATGCATTCTCGATGTCATTCATAATTGAAAACAAATGGTTTATCTTGGATCCTCCAAGTTGGTTCAGAGAGCCTAAAAGATGTATGTAAAGTTTTTAAAACAAGGGTCCTCCCTTTCCTCTTTTCAAAGTACTACCTGAACCACCATCGTGCATGATTAGCTCCATGAAATCAACTACCAGATGTGACCATTTCAGCTACCCAGATGGGTTGGTTGCTGGCAAATGCTAGCTTCCATTTCTTGATACATTTTCTTTATTCCAGCCTTTCAGAGCTTCCTCTTAATTTCTTCTGGCTTTTTCTGTATGATATTTTTACAGTCTCTTGCTGTAATGTTTACAAAGCATTTCTTTATGTATTTTCCAGTAAAACAAATGTAAAGAATGTCCCCCCTTTACCTGCATTGCTGGACTTCTGTGCATGTTGGATGCAAGTGTCTCACACGAACACGAGTGTGTGTGTCAAGCTTATTCATTCCCGTGTGACTGTGCACGCCTGCTCAACATTCTCATACTCTCCTGTGTCAGCTTACTAGCATCAAAAAGCCATCCTCATTCCACCAGGAAGCCCTCCTAAACCCAGTTATAGCATCTGCTTGATGTGGATGCAGTCATGGACTGAAAGGTGAACTGGAGCCATCACATCTCCCCTTGCAAGTCCAGTGCTCAGAGGACCGCCACATAGGGTTCCATTTAGGGCAGGCTGTGTCAAAGTCAAACAGCCAAGGTCAGAAGTCATGCATCCTGTCACCATTCAAACAGCTTTTGCAACCGGACATTTTTCCTAGATTGTTAGGTGGTCTAGCTATTTCACTGTGGGGTAAAACAACTTTTCTGTTTCCTTCTTGCCCGCAGAATCAGATTTTAGCCTTCCTGACATTGTCCATCTTTATGATCACCACCAACTTCTGCATCCTCTTCATGCATGTCCCAGACTCCCTGCTTTTTAGTTTTACACAATCAAAGCTTACCTCTGTAACTGTTTTGTTTGTTGTGTTTTTCTCTCTCCCACTCCCTTTTTATACTCCTTTTAGGCCAGAATGGAGTCTATGAATCGGCCCTACACTTCACTTGTGCCCCCTTTATCCCCGCAACCTAAGATAGTCACCCCCTACACTGCTTCACAGCCTTCACCACCTCTACCTCCTCCGCCACCCCCACCTCCTCCTCCCCCACCTCCTCCACCACCCCCTCCTCCCCCGCTGCCCAGCCAATCCGCACCTTCTGCAGGCTCAGCAGCCCCAATGTTCGTCAAGTACAGCACAATAACACGGCTACAGAATGCGTCTCAGCATTCAGGGGCCCTGTTTAAACCGCCAACACCCCCAGTGATGCAGCCACAGTCAGTGAAGCCTCAGATCCTGGTACCCCCCAATGGAGTTGTTCCACCACCCCCTCCCCCTCCTCCACCCCCAACCCCAGGCTCTGCCATGGCCCAGCTAAAGCCTGCACCGTGTACCCCATCCCTTCCACAGTTCAGTGCCCCGCCTCCTCCACTGAAGATCCATCAAGTTCAGCATATTACTCAGGTGGCTCCCCCAGCACCCCCTCCACCTCCTCCTATCCCTGCACCCCTCCCTCCTCAAGCCCCCCCAAAACCTCTTGTGACCATACCCCCACCAACCAGCACCAAGACTGTGGCACCTGTTGTGACACAAGCTGCACCACCCACACCTACTCCTCCAGTACCCCCAGCAAAAAAGCAGCCAGCTTTCCCTGTTTCTTACATTCCACCCTCTCCCCCTACCCCTCCTGTTCCAGTACCCCCACCAACATTACCCAAGCAACAGAGCTTCTGTGCAAAACCCCCTCCCTCTCCACTGTCACCGGTGCCCTCAGTCGTGAAGCAGATAGCCAGCCAGTTTCCACCCCCTCCAACTCCCCCCGCCATGGAATCTCAGCCCTTAAAGCCTGTCCCAGCAAATGTAGCTCCACAGTCCCCTCCTGCAGTAAAAGCAAAGCCCAAGTGGCAGCCCAGCTCCATCCCAGTCCCTTCTCCGGACTTCCCCCCTCCCCCTCCTGAAAGCAGCCTGGTGTTTCCTCCTCCACCCCCATCACCTGTCCCAGCCCCACCACCACCACCTCCACCCACAGCTTCTCCTACCCCTGACAAAAGTGGATCTCCAGGCAAAAAGACCAGTAAGACATCCAGCCCTGGGGGAAAGAAACCACCCCCAACCCCACAGCGCAACTCCAGCATTAAATCCAGCAGCGGTGCAGAGCACCCCGAGCCCAAGAGACCCTCGGTGGACAGTCTAGTCAGCAAGTTTACACCGCCAGCAGAATCAGGGTCTCCCAGCAAGGAGACCCTGCCACCTCCTGCAGCACCCCCCAAGCCTGGAAAACTCAATCTTTCTGGAGTCAACCTTCCTGGAGTTCTCCAGCAAGGGTGTGTGTCAGCAAAAGCCCCTGTTCTGAGTGGGCGTGGAAAGGACTCCATGGTGGAATTTCCTTCTCCTCCATCTGATTCTGATTTTCCACCCCCTCCACCTGAAACAGAGCTTCCTCTGCCCCCCATTGAGATTCCAGCAGTATTCTCGGGAAACGCCTCTCCAAAAGTGGCAGTCGTTAATCCTCAACCACAACCATGGTCTAAAATGTCAGTGAAGAAGGCCCCTCCACCCACACGACCCAAACGGAATGACAGCACCCGCCTCACTCAAGCAGAGATTTCTGAGCAGCCAACAATGGCCACAGTTGTGCCACAAGTGCCCACCTCTCCCAAATCCAGCCTTAGTGTCCAGCCTGGATTCCTGGCTGACCTCAACAGGACACTGCAACGAAAGTCCATCACTCGGCATGGCTCGCTCTCCTCCTCCCGCATGTCCAGAGCAGAACCAACAGCCACCATGGATGATATGGCATTGCCTCCACCACCCCCTGAACTGCTGTCTGATCAACAGAAGGCTGGTTACGGAGGCAGTCATATATCAGGCTATGCAACATTGCGGAGAGGACCCCCTCCTGCTCCCCCAAAGAGAGACCAGAACACCAAGCTCTCCAGAGACTGGTAGCCACCATAGGACTTTATTTTCATGATATCTGTAATCACTTCTACAATCAGCTCACCTGATCATCTGTGAATTCAGGTGTTCAGAGCCTCCTGGTATGATGTTATTCAGGTAGTGTCCAGCTATATGTGTATGCGTGTGTGTACACACAGCTATGCGGTGTATGTGTGTATATATGTATACATATATGTATGTGTATGTGTATATATAGAGAGCGCTGAGAGTTATTCTATTTATTCCTTTTCTCTCCTAATCTGAAAATGGGTGTTCTGTATTTTGAGTGGAAGAGGCATAGAAGGGGATGTGTGTTGTCTCTTAAGATTTCTATATCATGTGGATTGGACCAAAAACTTCTAATCACTTATTTAGAAGGTATTTGTAAGTGTCTGTCCATGTGTAGCCTATTCGTGCATGTGGTGTATTATATAACTAAGAAATAGATGTAGAATGTGCTACTTCTGGTTGAGAAAAATCACCAGAATGTGTGGTATATCTATAAGGCTTTTGTGTTTGTTTTTTCCCCAGTTGGCTGAAGTTAGAATTGCTTGACTGACACTTCATTGCTATACATAAAGGGGCACTTTAAATCAGGAAAATCTCTCAGCTTCATAGAACGGGTAACTAGTGCAGGATGGGGAAATGTTCACAGACATCTCTGTATGTGGTTATGCATAAAGTAAATACATGGTGTAACTAACTCAGCCGTTCTAGCTGCAGTACTGCTGCAGTGATCCATATTTGGGATGTGCTGACAGGTAAGCTCTTTGCCTACAATACATGGATAATTAGTGCTGTAATTCTGGAGAGTTCCTTTTTAGTACTGTTTTATGAAGCTTTATCAACTTGGCTTCATGATCCTCACTTTGATTGATTTTAAGAGGATGGACAACACAGTTATCTCTGTAATGTTCTGTCCCAGTATGTCTTTGGGTCACCAGTTACCTTCCTAAAATATGTGCTTTAGGTAGATGTTATCGCGTATCTGTAGACAACTGGTATATGAAATATACACATCCTGTGCCCCAATATGGTGCATCAGTATGAAAAACAAAATCATTTTCTAAAATGCAGTTTTTGAGCATTGCTCTATAGAAGGGAAGGGTGATGAGAGAACAAAACTGGCCCCTGTGCAAGTGTCATTAATCCGGTTGTATATGGGTTATAATAGGTAATACAAAAAACTCATTAAGTATGGCACTACCATGGAGAGGGAAGACAATATCATTTATAGCTACTGGGGCCACCAGGACCCTTGCTGACTGCATCCTGGTTGTGATTAGTTCAGGTTACCAGGTGTTCTGATGGAGTGGGACGTCCAAGTCCAGTGACTGACATTACGTATTATGCATGTGCAGTCTGGTATAACATGGAGTCACTGCTCTAATGACACACTATATACTTCTATATGCTTTTTTTTCTGTGAATTTTCCTTGGTTCATGAGAGAAATATGTACTGTCTCATCAACTTATGATAAATTGGACCATTAGGAATGAAACACAATCTTAAGAGTGGCTCCCAAACGAGAATAAAAATGGGCCATCCCACCTCTTATAAAGGGAGCACATCTTGTAATCAAAGTCTGTGCCTATTGTTAATGATTACCAATGCAAACTGCAGAAATCAGTTGACATTGTCCCACAAGGAAAAAATGCCAGTAAAGTGGGGGAAGAGACGGTCAATAATTCTAGAATGAGCAAAAGTGCTTAATTAGTACAGTATACTCAAGGTCTCGCATAACCCACACTCCACGAAAACCGCATCATAAACAGAATGAGCCGCACCTCTCCACTGCTGCATCTCCAGAAAACTGTTGAGCACGTTCATGTGGTTATGGAGCAGTAAGAATATACACCGTTAATTTTTAGGCATTTCAAATTGTTCACCAAGTTTTATGTTTGATGTTTATGAAGTGAGCTTTAACACATCTGCATCGTTAATTTAAGCATGCACAGAAATTTGGGTAATGTTTGAGTAGATTGCCAAGCTCCACTGTGATTCATGAATGAGTTTCTCATAGTCTGCTACCTGAAGTTTTATACTTTGAGGGTCACCCATATTTGTGGGTTAGAGTTAAGAATATGAATCCAATTATCAGAGTATTCATCCCTGGGGTTTTGAGTTTTATTGTGGTGATTTTCTTATGAGAAAGTAGGCAACTTCAATTTTCCTTGAGGGGGAAAAAACATAACCCCCCAACCTTTTTTCACCCATGACTTGAGCCCTGAAACAACAGCCTTTGTGTTTTCAGTGCAGGATTTCTTGGAATTTCTTGCTTGTATCAATCCTGATGATAGCCATCCTGAACAGATGCTTCTGGTGTGTTTTCCTGGAAGAGCAGACATCCTTTTGAACACTAATGATGCCAGGAAGAGGGTAAGGCTAGAGGAGGAGACTGTCATTTTAACCCCAATCCAGTGGCTTGTCTCCCAACAGGCCATTTCCCTTGACATTCCTTCACAGACAGAAATGGCTGTTAAAAATGTTTTAACCTCATGTATGAACTGAATTTAAAAAACCAGTAAAGTGATACTTTATACTTCTGATGTTTTACTGCCTAGTGGGTTTTCTTTAATTTGGATTTTTGTCAGGATGTAGCTTTTCCTCAACTGTATTTCTGTAGCTTTTTCTCTGGAGTATTCATGGAAAGCATCTACTGCCGGATGACACTAGTACTGTGCCTTCTTTCATTGCCCTCGGCTCTGCAGCTCTCACCCAGCTTGGCTGCTTCAAGTCTGTGCAGTTGACTTGACTGTACTGAAAAGTGAACAGCATGAATTAACTCATCCTGCTGCCGAGGGCAGTGCAAACAGGTGCTTATTACAGGTAGTGACTTGCTTAATTAGTGACACTCTTAATTTCTACTATAGATAATTTCAAAATAGAATCACTCTATGCTTAAAGTTTTGGCACCAATGCTGTAGGACAGCATAATCTATTCTCAGTAAAATAACTTCAGGTTTATTAGATATTCTGTATTGGATTTTACCAGCTTGACTTTGACTGCTCCAATACCTTTTTTTTTTTTTTTTTTTCTTCCCCCACTCCACCCGCTTTAGATGCTATAAATTTCTTGGGAAGAGTCACTGTTCTTAAGGTTTTTACAGATACCCACCTTAGTTGTAAATTGGATAAATTTCTGGGACTTTTTAAATGAAAAAGAACGTGGAATCTTAAGTTACAGAAGACTATTTTTATCAGAAAATTTCAAACAAAGTAGACATGGTGTTTCATAGTCCTGTAAAATCGAGGTGCTCCCACCACCAAAGGCACACCCTGCAAAGGGCTGTGAACTATCTTGGTGAACTCTCTTGGGTCCCCTTCCCATGTATGTTTTCTTGTCACTGAAAACAATGCTGAGTTTCTCAAGAAAATTTAAATTGGGGGGATCATAATAATTCCAACCAAGTGACAACTCTGAGGGCAAGGTTATTAGGAGCTGTACATCTAATTCAAGCTTTATTTGCTGCTATTCTGGGAGAATACAACTACTAATAAACTTGTATCAAGGAAATCCATAAAGTTATAAATTAGCCTGAAAAATATTTCAGGTAATGGTGTGGATTGGCCTGCTATGACTATCAGCCACCAACAGAACTCTGTCACCTTTGTTCCTCAGCTAAAAGTAATTTTGTTATAAACACAAAAGCGATTTTAAACAGATAAAAAACCCATTCCTATTTTTGTACATTACTAAAAGTTTTTCATATACTACAGAGCTAACTAATTATAACTGATTTAATCCCACTCAAGTTTAGACCAGTTAAACCCATATGATCCTGTATGGTTATCGGTGTGATGACTTGATTTTCATAAAATAGGTATAATTGGGTCATACACTTGATGAGAGGGTGACTGTTTCTAGGGGGAAAAAACCCTTTAGAATGCAAGTACCTTTTGGCACTTTGATTTTTTTTAATATACACTTTACATTTGTATAAATTATGCAGGGTACTCCTAACCCTGTAGGAATATATGACCTCTCACAAAGTTGAGATTTGATCCAAAGAGAAATGCAAGTATAAAAGAATTAGATAACTATTATCTCTTAAGGTTTGTGGTTTTTTTTGTTTGTTTGTTTTTTTGTTTTGGTAGAGACGGGGGTCTCACTGTGTTGCCCAGGCTGGTGTCAAACTCCTGGCCACAAGTGATCTTCCTGCCTCAGCCTCCCAAAGTGCTGGGATTACAGGCATTCCTTTTAAAATTCAAAGAGAACATTTCTACACCTTTATCCCTCAAACAAAACAAGTGCTCAGTTCTTACCGTGCCCTTGCAAGGTCTATATGTAAAAGAAATCTGAAATTTAGCTGTAGAATAAAACTTGCTAAATAAAAAGGAAAAACATACTTGGTAAGTGCCGTAAAATTTCTCCAGTTGGTTTTCTCTTTGCTTGTTGAAATAATAAACCATTTTAAAGAGAAAATACTTGCTGTAAACCCCCAGTGCCTTCAACTCTTTTGGCAGAATATTTTTAAAGAAATCCAGCAAGCAAACTTTGAGGTGCTAATGAAAGTAAAGGAAGGTGGTATTTCTAGTTTTGGCAGAAATGGAAAGTGTCTTACAAGAGACATCACTACCCACATGGGGTCTGGCTGCTTTCTACCAAAGACATTTAGAAAAGTGAATTGAGTCAGGGTGATGGTGAACACTATGTATTTTATAGATGGTTAAGTTGGGAAGTGATTGTGTTTATCATGGCGGCTACTAATACCAAGCTCATGATTGCTGAAGCCTCAGCATCTTAGGCAGTAAGACTTGTCTGCAGCACTAAAGGGGGGGAAACCCTTATATTTTGCGAACTGTCCATTCATTAAATTTATTGTAACCTAATACCAAAAACAGCCATTTTTCATATTTCCCCACCTCCTACATTTTTTTTCCGCTACTTGTAAATAATCCCTCCTAGAAAATAAGCATTAACTGGAATGTTTCAAATGATTTTGCTTCATTTTACTATCAGCCACTAGTGAACTCTTACAGAGATGTACATTTGAGATACAATTAGCTTGTGCTAAGTGTTGTAAAAACCTTGTTTACTGTTGAAGGAGAATTGCACATTATATTTAACTGGGATTGCTCCTCCCTCAGTTCTTTAAAAAACAGTCAAGGCTCACACCAACTTCTGGGCTGTGGGAGCTTTGCCATAAGTAGATACAATGTAGAAATATACTTTTTTAAAGCATGAAAAAGACAAGGAACTTCATTATAATGTACCAGGTAGAGGACATTATTATTCAAAGGATTATGCACAGCTCAGTGAAGATGAAGTTACAATTTTTCTTGCAGCTTTGTTATTACTTTCTTCTGCATAAATGTATGCTCATTTCATTATGTGCCTTGCTCCGATTGTGCAAAGCTATATATATATAGATATATATATGAGAGAGATATATTCAGTACTACTGAGGAGGTTTTTGTTCTGCTGGATTAAGTTATTTTCCAAGTTACTCTTGCCAGTTATGTCAGTAAACTATTGTAATGGCTTAGCACACTAGTCGTACAGTCAGTGTAAATGTTTTTCAGTTACATGTTTTCACTATGTCAGCTTATCAAATCCTTAATAAAAAAAATCATAGATTTCATTTAAACATGGGGACTTTGAGTGTTTGTGGATCGGCACCATTAAGAACCTGGTTTTGCATTTTGTATCAGGGTACCCAGAACATAGGCCATACACAGAAGAAATTAAGTGTGGTAAATAAATTAGTTTGATATGTTCAGTTTGTTAACTTTTAAGAGTATTTTATACCAACTAGGGAAATTTGGCCATTAAATACACTGGTGATTAAGTGACAACAGCTTTTAAAGATTTTTCTTCTTTAAACAAAGAACTAGGTACAAACTAATACAAAAAGGAATGCCTTTTGTTTCAAATCTTTGGAGTCACAATTGCGTGTTGGACTGCCGTGTGAAGGTATGTATAAATGTGTAATGTGTTTGCAATCACTTTATTATGTACCAAACTAGGGCAAAAAACGTGGAAGCCTTCCCCTTTCGTTCACCGTCTGTCAATCAATCAATCAATCAATCAATCAATCATACGTGGTTGTGGAAACTGCACCTGTACTTACGCCTTCAGAAACAGCAGCGTACACAGGCTGACAGGAAAACAGAACGCATTGCATATGCCCCTTAATTGGCATATGCCCCAAATCCAACCAAATTTGTAATTAATTCCGAAGTAACCCAAAAAGAGCCAAGCAATAGGGTCATTAACAAAAGACTGGATACTATCATCTTTGAGACAAGACTGCTCTAACGCCTACAATCCTATTCACAAATACGAGAAACCCATAAATGTTTTAGCTGGGTATTTCAGTTTTCTACATTATTCTTCACCTTACCTAATGATACCAAAATAATAAAGGTACAGAGGAAATAAGATGGGCTTGAAAAGTGAGAAAAGCTGAAACATTATTTTGGGTATTGTGGAGACAAACTATTGCTACCCTCAGATAGATACATCATTAGAAAATTCTTTTATAATCTAGGCTCTTACAGCAACAAAGCACAGGCTAGCTACTGGTTTGTCTTTTAGATTCACTTCTGACCAGTCTGCAATAATTTTTAGTCAACACCTATCATCTTCGGTGTTTTAAAAAAAAAAAAAAAAAAAACTGTACATTAACAATTAAATTTGGAGGAAAGTGGTAAGAACACCCCAGGTTCGAGTGGAGCAAAAACAGGGTTAGAAAGTTCTTAATTAGAACAGCTGTCTTGAGGGAAGAAACTTGAGATCGAATTTAAAGCTGAACATTTTAAATATTTGAAAATTTAAAAAGACTTCAGTAATAAAAAGCAGCTCCCTGGTTTAGAGCAACAGGAAAGTCAGATTATCCCTAACACGTAAACTCAGATACCACCTTAGAAAAAGAGGTTATTTATACAAATAAGTTAACAAGACACCTGAATATACTTTGTGGGATTTTATTTAGGTCAAGTTCTTAGTACACGGCAACAATTCCAAATACAATTAAAAAATTAAAAAGTGATGTTCCTCCGCTCATCTGGAGGTGTTTAATGGCACACAAGGAACATTACTGGCAACAGACTGCTCCCTCAAGTTCCCCTGGATGGTTTTTACTCAACTCATAATACCACCAACTCTCCCTCTGGAAGCTGAAAGTACAACTGGCCAGATCACAGATTGTTTACATTCTGTTTTGTAAGCCATTTTAAGAAATATGGTGCATGGACACAAAATATGATAAAAACTGCTTTTCCATAGAACTCTTAACTTGCAAAAGAGGTTTCATTTTAATGTGAAAATAAGCTTTTTTTGTTGGTTTTTTTTTTGTTGGGTTTTTTTTTTTTTTTTTTTTTTTCAAAAAAACCTTGATATTCAGCAAGGATCATTTATACACAGCTAGGCCCTGTCGTTTTGTAATTTTTTTTTTTTGACTTACGAGATTCTCAATAAAACAGGAACAAAGGTCAGCACAAAGTAAACTTAAAGGTAATGAGCTCGATGCCTCCATTTAATCACTTTTATAAGGCTCTCTCCAATAAGGCTGCTGTGCCGTGCTCCTGCCAGTGTTGAATTAATATGACATTTTTACTGCACACACCTTATGGGAAAAGTGTTTACACTGAGTGTAGTTTTAGGAGGGATAAATGAAGAGTATTTCCACGAATTAAGGTTGTGCTTAGTACACGCCTTTACACAATTCTGATGGTATTTACCAAAACATGGCATGTCTTTTCAAGTATATTCCTGAAAACATCAAATAGAACTCTTAACTTTTAAAGAAAAATATAGCACATTTAGTTAAGACAGTTGTGGTGCAGTGGAAAACAGTACTGAGCACTGAGTGAGAATTCTTAACTAGCTGTTCCTATGAAGAAGAAAACTCACCTCATCAGTCTAATGAGACAACCAGAAATTTAAAAATCTCATCTAGCTCAAATTCAGTGATTCTAGATCATATGGGGGAAACTGTCACCTTAACACCAATCAGGAGTTCCTGGCCAAAAAGACCAGAAGTGAACAGATCCCATTCTTTTCAAAGGCTTGTCAGTCACCTGCAAATTCCTCCAAAAATACCTTTTTCAAAGGCAAAGGTGACCTTCAGGACATGTCATGCTCTCTCCACAAAGGAGAAAAGAAAAGGTAGTAAAAGATAAAAACAGTTCTTAATGCAGAAATGTCACCTACTAAAACAAAATGAACATAAGATAAAAGCAAACTACCATCATTTTGATGCCTCCCTCCCAAAGAAAAATCTTTAGTTATCTTTATCTTCAACATAAACTGCCAAGGAGCGCAGATACAGTCCAGACATCATGGTAAAGATGCATAAAATATTCTCTAGCCGGATAATGAACACCAGCAGTAGGAAAAAGGGGATGAAAATGTCTCACACCCAGTAACATTTAGGAACATAGCTAAATTAGCAGGCCATTGTCAACTCTAAAATGGGAACAGCAGGCGCCTCTGAGGGAGATTGAAAGGAAGTAGCTAAATGATGGAAAATATTAAACAAGATAGCTTAGAAGATTCATATTTATTCCAAACGGCAGGCTGAATCAGATTTTGACACGTTGGCACTATTTCTGTTTCTGATTTACTGCCTTGGCCATAAGGTCAAAGGCAACAAAGTGTATTTTCATTAATATCCCCATGGACTTTCGAGTATTAATATGACAAAAAGACAACTTTTTTTTTTTTTTTTTTTTTAAGGGGATTGGACACACAAACTTCAGGAGAGAAGATTCCCCTCTCCCATTAGATTCCCTCTATCCTGATAAAATGGTTGCTTTATTAGTCAGATTTTAGACTTGGATTGTATATTAATAGTACACAGCATGTAAGATTTTCTGCATTCATTTGAAATTCCTAATACCATCTTTTAATTTATTAAAAAAAGAGGGAAACTTACAATAAAACAAAAACTACTACCCTCACAGACGATTAATAGCATGCAATCTATGAAATACTACATACATCAAAAGTCTCCAATTACTGTGCACCTGGCCCATCACACAGTATCCTTCCAAGACAATCTATAGAATTCAAAACTGTACAAAAATTTTAAAATATGCAGAAAACCCAAAAGGTATTGTTTGTAAAACAAAGATCACACACACATTAGTACTAAATAGGGAAAAAAAAATCAGCAGACCCATGGACTCCCCCTGCTCCCAACCGCAGGTCTTCAGTATAAAGGACTTCGTCAGTGTCTTCTGCACTCCCCCCATCCAGCAGGGGTCCAACAGACCAGCTGCATTCCTGCTGACTGCCACCAACTCTGTTTTTTGCATAGTTGTCTTCTCTGCTTCTGTAGTGGTGAGCTGTGGGAACTTTTTTTTTTTTTTTTTTTTGGATGGAGTCTCGCTCTGTCACCAGGCTGGAGTGCAGTGGCACAATCTTGGCTCACTGCAACCTCTGTCTCCCGGGTTCAAGCGATTCTCCTACCTCAGCCACCTGGGACTACAGGTGTGCACCACCACACCCAGCTAATTTTTGTATTTTTAGTAGAGACAGAGTTTCCCCATGTTGGCTAGGATGGTCTCGATTTATTGACCTCATGATCCACCCGCCTCAGCCTCCCAAAGTGCTAGGATTACAGGCGTGAGCCACCACGCCCAGCCTGTGGGAACTATTTGTTGGATTTCAAAACACCCTCTGCCTCATTAATCCACTAAGCTTTCTCAGCAAAAAGCTGTTTAAATAAATAATGGGAACATCTAATTTCAAAACAGTTTTTCTAATTATAGACCAGTACACTAAGAAGAGCTTAACTTATCTAAGTATAGTCTAGTTTGGGTCCAAAATGGAGCTAAGGGCTCAGAGGACATTCAGGGCCATTACACTGCAGGAAAACAAGGAATAAGGGATGTAGAAATGACCTAAGAAAAGCATGAAGTGGAATGTATACTGGAGGCAAGTTAATGAAAGCTAATAAATACAAAGTGCTGGGAAAAATCTAAAAGCAAAATAGCTATTTTAACTTGCAATGCGTTAAAAACTTTAAAACCAAAAAGTCTTGATAAGGAGAGTCTTAGCGGGGTCTCAGTTAAAGGCTGATGATTTTTTATGCTCAGATAACATTTATAAGTGGAATATTACCTTCTGCCTCCTACACTATCTGAATTTCCTCACACTACACTTGTTCATTTTTCAATCAAGTTACTCTTTCTGAATTTGTTCAAGACCTCATTTGAAATATATCCAGCTATTGCTTTTCCCCTTTCACCTAGCACAGGGCAGTTACCTGGCAAAGCTCTATTCTGGCCAAGTCACTGGGACTGAGTAGAACCCATGTCACGAGCTCTGGACCTGAACAGGAGCTGGCCCACCGTCACAGAGACCACCTACAGAGACAAGCCCTCCTGGATTTTTTTCAGTATTTCTTATACTGACTACAGTAGTGATTAAAGCCATGTGCCCTATAGACTCCATTGAATTTGAAGCTGTATTTATTGTACAGATGGGGGAAATGTATTTTACTCTGTCAAAGTTATATTAATTTTTAGCAATGTGATTAGATACGTATTTCGGCCTATTAATCTTACTCATTATATTCTTAGTCTGAGATGGGTTTGAATTCTGACTAACAGCAGCTACTTAAGAGTCCAATCATACAAAATCAGGAGAGAATTACCTTTTCTACAGCTAAGCGAGTCAATGATACAGCAGCAACTAATACTGGCCATTAATAACATCCAGAGAGCACATTAGCAAACCTTTTACTCCCAGTGACTGTCAAGAGACTTGAAAATAACTACTATTCTCTTCCAAAGTAGAATAGCGTTTTTCTAAATAGTGAAAGAAATGATAGTCAGTTGGTCTGAACTCCAAGATCCTACTCCTCAAAACAACACCGAAGGCAGGGGTTCAGGATGCCTGCTAAGAGCATTTCCACAGTTCAAGTCTCTTCAGAACCTTAGGGACCTTCATGTCTAGCTTCACATACCCATCTCCACACATGAACCAGAATACCACACTTCACATCTGGGTACACTGGCCATTAGCAACAATACAGTCTCATGCAGCAGCACATTAAAATCAAACGGGTGGCAATCATTCACTACCCTCAGAGTGTTGGGAGACTTTCACATTTCATCATCCTCATAATCCACAAACTGAGAAACATGAAGGGATGCAAGTGAGTTCAGCATTCACTCATCTGGTGCACTCAAGTGCTGAGAGAATGCAGAATTTACAGTGTTACAGAGGAAAAAGCCATCTGAAATAATTGTAAAAATGGTTAAGTGTGGTATTTAAATATTGGTTCCCTCCTCTTCATGCAAGTGGAAGAAAAGGAGGAGCTAGGGTACCCACTGGGCCATGAGGTTAACCCCTTAGCACAGGCAATGAAGAACATCCAATGCCACAAATTCTGCAGGAGGAGAAATCCCAAGGGTATACAGTATTCCTGAGAAAGATCCCAGATTTTTCTGAATCAGTCTTAATCTGATTTTGTTTTGGCTACACAGTTACATTGTTATACCTTTGACATATATAAAAATGGTTATTTTATTTCAATCCAGACAGCTCAGCATTGTACAAATGATGGCAGAAAGATCCGTTTGTTCAGACTCAGCTTGCTTTTTTTGTTTTTAATACTGGGGGATAAACCAAAAGAAAGTGTAATTTTTATCATTTGTATCCTTCATTCTACTTTACTGGAGTGGAATCCCCAGGGCCTTCAGATAATCTGGGAAGACCTGACTATTTCTGTGAGGCAAGCACAGCCCTGCCGAGCTTTACTCAGAATAATGCATGATAGACTCAACATAATTCCCAGGAAAAAGCCCAGTCACTCCATTCATAACTCCCTCATACCAACCATCGTCATTCTTCTTGATGACATAAATAATGGCTCCTTCCTGAAAGGACAGCTCATCTTCCTTGTCTTTTGTATAGTCATAAATTGCCACAACTAGGAGGGAAGAAAACAAAATAGGATGTGAAAGAGAGTAATATTCCTAGAAAGACAGAACCAAGCCGATGAATATCTATCCTTTCCCAAATCCTGCAGCACTCAAACATGGTGACTTTCTAAACACCAACCAAAATGTACATATTTTTTTTCTAAGTAATACCCAGTCATATACAATGAAATTCCATTTTCTAGGGATGTTAGGCTCTAAATTGAGTACAAATGGGGGAAAAGCACATTTAATTGAATGTGCTTTTGATTACCTTTCAAGAGCCTACAGGGAAGTACCTCAATGAAGAGGTACACAATCTTAGAATCAAGAAAGATGGCTGTTTCTTCATTTGAGTTTGTGTTGAGATACCATATTTTGTTTTGTTTTGTTTTAAAAAAGCTTTTCTTTACCTTAGAAGTATACTAGGGCAATGAGATACACTATGAGAGGCAAGTGAGAAACCAGACAGACTAATGGAGCAGCAGATTTCTGTCTCCTCTATCACTCTCTCTGGAGCCTATGTCTCTTCACTAAGTAGAATGGTGGTTGAATTAAATGTCTGAGTTGAGTTAAACGTATGAATGATGGGAGTCCACTACATATATTCTTTCAAACCATATGCTGCATTATGTCACCAATTTAATATAACCATAACAACAGTCTAAGAGTGCCAAGAAAATCAGATACCTATAAGCTCTCCTGTGATTTTCATTGCTTAAATCACTTGGTAACTTGGCTCTTTCGGCCATTATCTCAGTGGTTATTTCAACTGTTATCTTATTTCAACCAGATAATCTCTGGTTCCCAAGTATTGTATCAACTTCAACAGTTTAGTTATATTGGGCTGCCCTGTAACTTGCTCAAATCCACTTGAAGAGTTATCCTTTGCTCCAACCTCTTCATCTCCTGTACCTTTTTTATACCACTCAATGAAATCTCCACCTATCCATTGTTCCCAGACAAATACACCGTCTTTGTTAGTTTCTCATGCAACCTTGTGCCTCACATAAATAAATGAGAAACAAATTACAAGAGGGACTTCTGATATAATGTAATGTGCCCTAAAGAAAATTCATTTCTGGCCTTTAAATTGTGAATATTTTCCATTGTAGTGATATTGTAGGAACACCAGAATTTTTTTTTTTTTTTTTTTTTTTTTTGAGACAGTCTCACTCTTATCGCCTAGGCTGGAGTGCAGTGGTGTGATCTTGGTTCCCTGCAATCTCCGCATCCCAGGTTCAAGCCATTCTCCTGCCTCAGCCTCCCAAGTAGCTGGGACTACAGGTGCCCACCACCATGCCCAGCTAACTTTTTTTTTTTTTAGCAGAGACAGAGTTTTGCCATGTTGGCCAAGCTGGTCTTGAACTCCTGACCTCAGGTGATCCACTTGCCTCGGCCTCCCAAAGTGCTGGGATTACAGGCGTGAGCCACCTGCACCCGGCCAGAAAATACTTTAGAGGATCCTTGCTATGAAGAGATCAGTGTGCATTTCTCAATATATAACCAAATGCCTGAACACAATCAAATGTAGTTAAATGGCATACAAGTTTAAATATAAGAAAATATGAAAAAAAAACAGAAAATACAATTTAGAATATTTAGCATTTCTAGTCAACCTAATATTTTCTAGTGTTTTTTTAAGGAAAGACAACATTTCTGATGCTTCAAGAAATGCAAATCCAGCCAGGCGCGGTGGCTCACAACTGTAATCCCAGTACTTCAGGAGGCTGAGGCGGGTGGATCACGAGGTCAGGAGATCGAGACCGTCCTGGCTAACACGGTGAAACCCTGTCTCTACTAAAAACACAAAAAAATTAGCTAGGCGTGTTGGCGGGCACCTGTAATCCCAGCTACTCGGGAGGCTGGGGCTGGAGAATGGTGTGAACCCGGGAGGCGGAGCTTGCAGTGAGCCCAGATCATGCCACTGCACTCCAGCCTGGGCGACAGAGCAAGACTCCATCTCAAAAAAAAAAAAAAAAGAAAGAAATGCAAACCCTTGGCCAGGCACGGTGGCTCATGCCTGTAATCCCAACACTTTAGGAGGCCAAGGCAGGAGGATTGCTCAGAAGTTCGAGACCAGCCTGGCCAACATGGTGAAACCCATCTCTACTAAAAATACAAAAATTAGCCGAGCGTGGTGGTGGGCGCCTGTAATCTCAGCTACTCGGGAGGCTGAGGCAGGAGAACTGCTTGAGTGAGCTGAGATCACACCACTTCCCTCTAGCCTTGGTGACAGAGCGAGGCCACTTGTCTCAAAAAAGAAAAATAAGAGAAAGAAAAAGACATGCAAACCCATGAAAAGTAATGCAGAACAGAATATGAAGCCTGTTGTAACAGATGCTTTGAAGTGGAAAGTTAGTAAGCTCTATGTACATTCATTTTCTTCTTCAAAATGTAGAAATTGCCAGCCTGAGCAACATGGCAAAACCCCATCTCTACAAAAAAAAAAAAAAAATAGCCTGGCATGGTAGCACGTGCCTGTGGTCCCAGCTACTTGGGAGAATCACCTGAGCTCACCAAAGTTGAGGCCGAAATAAGCCGTGATTGTCCCACTGCACTCTAGCCTGGGTAACAGAGTGAGACTCTGTCTCAAAACAAATCAAAAGTAGAAACTGGATTAGACAGAATTTACACTAAACCTGATTCCAGAGACTCTGTTTATAGTGGTATAAAGCTGAGAGTTTTAACAACTGTTCAGTTTTTTCTTTTGCCAAAATTTGTATTCACTATTTTAAAATTAACTTTTTCAAAAATCAGAAATATGCTAAGAATATTCATTTTCTGGCTGGGCACTGTGGCTCACACCTATAATCCCAGAACTTTGGGAGGCCGAGGCAGGAGAATCACTTGAGGCCATAAGTTCAAGACTAGCCTGGGAAACATAGCAAAACCCGGTCTCTAAAAAAAATAAAAACAATAAATTAGCCAGGCATGGTGGTACACGTCTGTGGTCCCAGCTACTTGGGAGGCTGAGGCGGGAGGACTGCTTGAGCCCAGGAGGTTGAGGTTGCAGTGAGCAGTGAACGTACCACTGCACTCCAGCCCAGGTGACACAACAAGACCCTGTCTCTAAAAAACATAAGTAATGTTTAAACGAATATTCATTTTCACTCCAGGGAAAGATATATACCAGTAGTTTACTTCATCTAATTCTTTACCGTAAAGCTATTCATCAAAAAGGAAAATACACTTGATTGAGTGCAACAAACTTTTATCAAAGTAACTTCAGAGCAGTGTAATAAAGTATCTTCTCTGTTTTCACCAATATTCTAAATGCTGATGTTGAGAAATGTAAAATCTGTCTAGATTTTATTTAGTCTGGAAAATTGGTTTTGGCAATAGTGAAGAAAGTCATTTTTTGCAATTATGCATGTATATCACATGTAGTGTCAAAATCACATGGGGAACTGATAAATCACATGTAAGAAAAAACTTAAAATGCTAAACATCTGGTTTTTGTGCAGTTATGATTGAAACAGAAAAGGACTTACACTGTTTTACTGTTTCTGCTAAAGTAAAAATACATTCTACATTTCAAAGTACGTTGTTCATATTTAGCATTTCAATTGAAGACATTCTAGAATATTTTATGAAGGTCTGTAAAACTGAACAAAACTTCTTAAATGTTTCTCTTTTTAATTTTAATCCTATAATTTTATACGAAGTATGCTGCAGAGTTAAAGATAAGCAAAGAATAATGGTACCATACCATTAGAAAAGGACCCAGACTGGGCCGGGCATGGTGCCTCATGCCTCCAGCACTTTGGGAGGCCGAGGCAGGCGGATCACAAGGTCAGGTTCAAGACCAGCCTGGCCAATATGGTGAAACCCCACCTCTACTAAAAATGCAAAAATTATCAGGCGTGGTGGCGGGCGCCTGTAGTCCCAGCTACTCAGGAGGCTGAGGCAGGAGAATGGCATGAACCCGGGAGGCGGAGCTTGCAGTGAGCGGAGATCACACCACTGCACTCCAGCCGGGGCAACAGAGCAAGACTCTGTCTCAAAAAAAAAAAAAAAAGACCCAGATTATCTTTTCTCTTCCAAAATAAGTAAATTGAAACAAATAGGAGCGATCTAAACATAAAACTCTCTACACTATAAACTCCTGGAGGTAAGGGCCTATCACTTACTCATCTCTGTGTATCCCTAGTATCCAACACAAGGCCTAGCTTTTTGGATACTTCTAAATACATCTACATATTATTCAGTTACAGAGTCAGTAATAAATGTAACTTAAATACATATTGGGGAAAAAATTAAGGTGTTACTAAAATAACAATGTAAAACAAAAAAGTCCAAAAGGAGTATGTTACATAGAAGTGACTGATCTGAACTAAAAAGACTGACCACACCAAATATTGTAGCAATTAAGTACCCAAAACTAGGAAGCCACTGGAAAAATCAAATGCTAGTGAGATTATCCACTTCAATATATCGTTTGTATTAAATTACATATTGTGAGTTGACACCACTGTATTTATATGGAAATAAAAAGTTCATCCTAAGCCAGCAAAACATTTAACATACTTTGGAATTTATGTTATAAGCTGCCCTGAGGTAGAGCAAAGTTAACCTGGACACTATCAATGAAGAGTTGGTTAAAACACTTAACAATGTATTCTAGGAAATGTTTTAGAACCCACTGGAGATGCTATTTCTATGAAAATAATGCTACTTAACTAATACAGCCATATTCCTTCTGTCCCTACCACTCTAATGAAACTATTCACTTGAAAAAAAAAACTGGCCTTCTACTTTTGAGCCTCTTCCCAGTTCTTTGCCTAATGTTCCTGTAGTGTTTGGCAATGATGATCTCCTGCGCCTGCTTCTTGACATTTTCCTCCATGGCTTCCATGACAGTGTCTTCTCCCAGTTCTCTGATTACTACGCTTATGTGGAGCCAATTACTCTGCTTAAGTGGAACTAGGAATCATCTTTGCCTTCCCCCTACTCACCTTTCCCCACATCCCCAAGTCCTGTTAATTCCACCTTCTAAATCTCCCAAATA